AGAATAAACTGCCCAAATACCCTTAAACAAAGGAAAAGTACGTCCTTTATGAAGGCATAGAGCCTTTACTACATGAAAATGAAAATTAATGAATACACTGTGTACAGTAATTTACCTGATAAGACAGACCTCAGAAAAATACTTTATGAGAGCTTTTATACTTTTATAAAGCTGTCTATAATGAAAATTAATTAACTAAGGATTTTTTTGCTCTGCCATAGTGTGGCCGAGTTATCCGGAGTGCCGGGTTATCGAGAGCCGAGTTTTCGAGGTTCTACTGTATTGGCTTACATAGCTGTTTGTTACCTTGAAATGCACTATATATTTTTTAATTGTATAATTATTCTGTCATATGTTTATCGCGTAATGTAATATTATATGGTTAAATTCTTTTATCTCTTATTACTTTAATTTTATTTGTCACGCGACATTTCTATATTAATATATACACGGTTTTCTGAACTTTTGATTTATTTAGTCATTCTCGAGAGTTATAATATAGCTATTTTCTCTACCTTTGTTCTAGACGTGAAAGAATATCGGTACTTTTGTAAAGGTAAGCGTAAATATAGTCAGAGCATACGTAGGATCTGTTTGCTTATTATTAACATACCCACAGGTGTAACTATAATTTCGCACTGCACTTAAGGTTGGAGCGTGCAATATAGTTGACCGAGTTAAAAGTAGTGCTTTGTCAAACATTATTGAAATTACTATTTAATTACACACTGTTATATAATGTAATTATTATTATGGTTCACTCTTGTATTAATATTTCGACTAAAGGATGTCACATATCTTGCTGGGGGCGATTATATGAATTGCAATTATCCTAGCGATGTATTGTCTCTACCTCACTCGCAAACACTCATGCTTGTGTATCTATGGATGTGGAACATAATTTAAAGCCTAAAAACTCCTGTAACTTTTGTCGAAATTTTTGAAACTTTGCACAGACCTTTCTATATTGGAAAATTGGGCTGATGCGGCACTTTAGAACACTGGCCGAGAAAGTACCACAACTCGTTGCTGGATTGTTTTTTTTTCTTTTTTATTTATATGCTATGATGTAATTAGCACAATTTGCTTATAGTAGCTAACATCATGAACGTAACGCTTCCATTTTGAACGTAATTACTCTTAAGAATAAATTTATTTATTACAGAAAATTTCAAAAACTTGAAATTTCAGCTATGGAAAGCTTCTTAAGGTGCGTTTTTTTTAAAAAAAATTTTTTAGTTTGAACTTATATCACTAATTCTTGTTATAAAGTAATAAAAATATTTTCTTTGTTATTGAATTTCAATTGTATTTTTTCTGTTTTCAAATCTGTTAAAATGCTCACAAACGACAGAGTTGGATTAATGCTTTTTCTAAGTGTTGAATATTACTTCTGTGCTTTTGAAAAAAATGAGAGTACGTCAGGTAGGAGTAGGAATATTAACTAATGTTTTACTAAGTAAAAAAATTAATTAATTGAAAATTTTTTTTATATATTTTAGTAATTGAACGTAGGATGATTGGAGGAAGGGTGGCAAAATATGGAGAATTTCCATTTCTGGTGAGTTTATAGGTGTAAACAGTTATGTTCCGGCTACTTTACTCATAAGGAATATTACACTAATTTAGGTAGCAATATTTGAAAAAGAAGAATTTCAGGGGTGTTTTACGTTAATCACATCACAAACATTAATAGGAGCAGCACACGTTGTAGAAAGGTATGTTTTTTTACTTTAATTTTTATTGGAAATTTCATCAGTAATTTTATTTTACAATGAATATTTTGATATAAATTTGGTTAACCAGAGGAAGACAGAATGCCTAAAAGTTAAACATTTATATATGACAACATTTAATTATTTATTTAAAATTCAATGATTTTATCACATGAGTCAGAAAAGCAATTTAATAAGTAAATAATTTATCATATTCATTTGATACTAACAAAGAAACACAACCAAATGACTACCTGACTTTTAGATATTTTATGTTAAAATAAGTTCATGTGATCAAGGATTTTTGAGAAAAACAAATCAATTTTAAGCTATTGGATTTATAAGCTATAGTGCAAACACCTTGATAACACTGGATAGCATAATGGTTACATTCCAGCCTTAGGTCGAGCCTTCACTAGCGTAGAAACCTTTGCTGTAAAAACTTAAGCATGTGACCTGTTTGCATTTGCGTCTGGATTGCGGTGGAGGTCCGGCTAATGAAGTTCTTATGGCAACGGTGCTGCCCCAAGTGTCGAAAGTAAATACTTCTTCGCATGTGAATTTGTGGAAACAGAAGATGTGATATATCAATATAAAGACAATGATTATATTCTACGAGTTATTTCTGTACTGTAATTACAAATGTAGTAAAAATTATATCTTTACTTTCATATATTAACTTTTATTATTGTATTATTAAGATAATATACAGCACTTATAAGATTAACTTTTTTATTATATATTCCTCTAAATTGAAGGGTCTTCCTTTAGCCATCCATATCGTGTGTTTTAGGCATCCGTTATTATAATCGGGATGCCTCTTGTCGCAGATACATGAATACTTTTGGATGTTTTCGATAAATCTTTCCAGATATATTCTAGAGTAGCCATGAGAGAACATACACAAAAGCTCGTTTTCTGCCATTTTCGCACCGTGTCACAATGACCTAGATTTCATTGACTTCTGATTGGTGGATGGTACCGTTTTATGGCCATATTCGCATCGAAAGTTGAACACTGCTCGACTTGCTTTTACACTGGTTTTACGACCTGCTCAGGCATAATATCGGGGTCATGTGATTAAAAGCTTTTACAGCAAGGGGTTTTACGCCTGTTTTTAGGCTAGTGGAGTCTCAGCCTTACATGTGCATATCCCAAGGCTGTTCTGGATTCAAGTCTCAATTTTTTTAAGCATTTTTTAAAATTCTTAAAAATATTAGACTTGCACCCATGGGTTGCATTAAAAATGGGTTACATTTTTCTATTACTGAATTCTTTATTTTCATTTTTTTTACTAATTTACTTATTAAATATGCGTATAACTGAATTTATTAACAGTTGTACATAATGATTTTCCATTTTAAAAGAAACTTGAATTTGTCCAAAGACACACGAATAGCTAACAACTTGAAATGAAGTTTATATGATTAATTCATGCTCAAAACAGAAAACTGCAAGGAATAAGCTTATATTCAATTTCCATTTAAAAGTCAGCATTAGGTTTTAATGATGCTTTGATATCTCCAATTCCCAGCTAAAATATTTTCACTTCTCTTTAATTTGTAGTTTGTGTTTATATATTGGGAACTTTACAAAAATATAGTAAAAGTGCATTTTAAGTTGAATGAGCTGTCAATTAAAATGGAACATTAAGAGAATAAAATACACAAGTAAATTACTAAAAAAAATATGCAAAAATAAAGGATTTGGTAATGGAAAATTGTAACCCACCTTTCCCTCAAAAATAAAAATTTAAGAGAATAAAAATGAAATTTTTAAAAAATTCTTAAAAATCAAGCTTTAAACCCAAAACAGCATTTGAATATGCTCTCAGGCTGCAACATAACCATTATACCACTTATGCCTTTAACATGTTTGCACTAGAGCATATAAATTCAATAGCTTTAAAATTGATTCCTTTTTTTAATGAAACTGCTTAGGATTGAGTATTTTTTGCAATTATATATAGGTTTAATTTCACATAAACTTTTGTTTTAAACATGAAATATTTAAAGTTATGTAGTCATTTGGTTCCCTTTCCTTGTAACATATGCCATGATTTTGAAATTGAATTTTCAAATTGTTTTATATAGGGAAAGTTATACAGATTGTTTCTTGTTGTCATAAGTTTCATGTGAACAGTATGAGTGACCAGAACAGACAGATGTTTCTTGCCATTGTGCAGCAAACCTCATTTGATATGTGTGTGTATGTGTGTTGACATGTATTTCATTTAATATCTTGGAATATGTTAATGATGAAATAAAACTTAGTGTGGTAGCTCGTGTGTAAGGGACATTGATGTTATTAAATTTTGATGATTAAAGGTCAAGGGAGTAAGGAGATAAAGGGGTGTCATGTGTCATATTTCAAGAAGGGTTGGACTTAATGAAGATGTTATTCATTTGCATTTGCAATTTTTTTTATAAAACTAATCATTACTTTCAAAATTAAGCCTTTTGCCATTTTATAATAATTAAAAAAAAATAAACATTTTTTATAACAAAATCTCATAACAGATGGCACCTCACAATTTTATTTATTATAATTAAAAATATACCGTATTTTTTGGCATATAAGATGACTTTTTAACCCAGGAAAATCTTCTCAAAAGTTGGTGGTCATCTTATATGCTGGGTGTCATCATATATGGCAAGTATATCCCAAACTCTATATTTTAACAATAAAAGTTGGAGGCCTCTTATACGCCTGAAAGTACGGTACTGTAAAAGTTATTTTTTAACAGCTGGGGAAGTTACACAACTCATTGCTAGATTTTTTTTATTTTGATTTTATCCTCAATATTTTGAAAGAGACAAGATCTAGTTGAATACGTGGAATTACCTTCTACAAAAATTTTATTTGCATATTTTATAAGTAAATTAGTTTTAAAATTTCTAATTACCGTTATATCATGGCATGATAATTAAAATTTCATATTGTGTGTGTGCATTTGAGTCACTACCAAATAATAACTAAGCTATTTCAATATTCAGATTTTCAAAACCTTTCTTGATAAGTTATTGCAGAATATTCAAGGCGGTCTAAAATGACAAGTGAAGTTTGTTAGGATTGAGAAGATATGCATAAATTTGCTCTAAGCTAAGGTTCCAGCTTCTGTAGTGATTTCAAAAAAGTGCTTAATTATTTATTATATTTAAAATTATTTTGTTTATTATTAAATTTTTAAAAATTTTTTGTTATTAATCATTATTAATGTAGCAGTTAAGAATAAACCATTAATTTTTTTACAAATATGTTTGCTTATAAAGAAAAAAATTATCTTTTACATGGTTGGATTGTTGACTATTTACACTGTAATTACTGTTTTTTTGCATTTTATAAAGAAGTTGAATTATTATTTTATTTAATTGTTAATATACATAATATCTTAGTTGTAATAATGATAATTAAAATTTCTATAAAATGTATAATAATTTTTATGAATTTCATTGTCACATGTTTATACAGTATAGAAAAGTTATTTTATATTTAAAACTAACATTTTTTAAAATTTCTTAATCAATCCTTATATTTTAATTGTAGGAGATCAAGCAGGTGAGTGTAGAGCTCATGGAAATTTAGGATCTGCATATTTTTCTAAAGGTAATTACAAAGAGGCACTTACAAGTCACAGATACCAATTAGTTTTGGCAATGAAATGCAAGGATACGCAAGCTGCTGCTTGTGCTCTTACAAGTTTAGGCAAGTATTTGTTATTTATTACATTTCTTTCTAAATAAAAATAAATCTTTATATAATTTTTTCTATTCTTAAAAAATATTCACGCCAAAATATATTCTTAAATAATATTCACACCAATTAATTTTTTAATTATGTATAATTAAAATATTATACATAATTTGCAACTAAACATATTTCATACAGCAACATCTATAATTAAATGTTTGCTAATAACTATCTGAACCCTAATTATTTATCAGTTTTATTATTGTATTTAATTCTAGTGAAGATAAGATAAATTATTGTGACATGTTGATACAATTGTTTAGTCACTGTTGTTAGTGTTTTTGTCACTAAATGTCATTCCATATGTATGTGTATTCACAGTTTACATCTTTTTTACAATTTCTATGATTCAGCTCTTCTAAAAGCAAAAAATTCTACATCACAAATACCCATTTTTTAAAGCTAACGTTTTTTATACATAGTCAAGACAAAGGCAATCTTGACTTTGGCTTTCATTAAATCTGCCAAGGTCAAGATGTCTTGACAGGTTTTTTGAGATAGTTTGACTCTGCTTTATGTTCACTTTGTTTTTACTCATTTCTGCAATATTCCAATATTTTCTTGCAATGAGTAAAAAATTTTCTATTCTGATATACTTCCTATCATATTTAATGATTCTACTTATCAGATTGATTTTTGCCAAATTACAAAGCTGTGGAGTTGGAGTCATGGAGTTTTGGTGTTTGAGTCGGAGTTGTCAAAAATCTACCAACTCAGACTCCTTTTTACTTTCCCAACTTGTGTATATAAAATGGAAAAGTATTGGAATCATGTCAAATTTGACCCTTGACTTCTTTTTTACAAATCTACGTGTTTGGAGAACTCCTGAACCCAAAAAAATGTCAATTAAAGGGATATAGTTCAAGTGTTTCTTGGCATTTAATTTGTTTAATTTTTTTATTCTCTGTTCTGAGATATTAAACAATATTTCAGAATGGGTAAAGTTTAAGAAATGAAGTTTGGCACCGTAGCTTGTGTATAAAGCAGATATTATGCTATATAAATGCTATTAAATTTTGGTTGTTAATTAAAGGTTGACAGGGTGGAGACACAGAACAGGTCATATGTCATATCTCCAATGTGTTGGACTTAATGAATAGTTTACTCATTATTAGAGTTCAAAATTTTTAAAATAAAATTCATCTCTACCCTCAAAATTAAGCTTGAGTTCTAATATGAGCACAGACAGGAAATCTTACAAAATTTAAAGTTAATTTTTACAATGCACTGGAAAAAGTAAATCACATTGACCATTCTTCAAATTTGGATGTTAAAATGGCAATACTGCACTATCCAGACATTATCCAAGGTATAGCATTGACTGTCGCAGTATTGCTACCAATCCAAGTTTCAGTAGTGTGTTTATTTTCCACTCTTAAAATTATTAAATCTGATTTAAGAGCTTGCATGAATGCTGACTTTTTAAAAAGAAGCAATTCTTTTTAAAAAGTAATTCAGTTTATAACAGAGATGAAAAATAATAAATTAATCAACATGGTGAAATAAACAACCTTTTTCTTTACCAGTCTAAATGTTATATTTCTTATTCTTGACTTAGTTTAATGTATGTACATGCATATATATTACCTAATATACCTATTTATTATGTACAACATTTTTATTAAACTAATTTGTTTGTGTATGAATTCATTTACTGTTTTTATTTATAAAGGCTTACCAAACACAATTGCCATCATCAAACAAGTCAATAAATATGACTTGTATATTATATTGAATTTATATATTAAGTAGATGTGTCAAATTTTAATGTTTAATTAAGTTTTTAAAATTGTTTTATTTTGTATTTTTAAAAATAGCAATCAGAATCATCATCATTATTACTTTCCTGGCTGTTATACAGTATAAACCTATAACAAAGAAAAAGAATGAGAATCAGTCAAAAAATGACTTTCCCAGATTTTTACTCTTGGACCCAGGAAGCCTTCAAACATAGAGAAAAGCAAAAACATTTTGGGTTTTTTTTGTATGCATCGATGTTGGAATGTGTGTGGTGGTGACACAATTTAATTCAACCACATTGAGACTTAACTTCACCTGTGTTATTCCCAATACATATCGGGGTCATGACCTTTGATCCGCAAGGTTAAACCCAATATATCTTGTTACGGTATTGGTACATTTTTGGAACTAGATGTCGCTAGTTGTTATAATTTTTATATTAAAACTCAATTCCAAAATATTATTTTTTTGTTTATATATTTATTAATATATCTATTTTGTTTGTAAAAAATAAAAAAATAATTTTGGACAATACAATAGCCACAATTATTTTTTTTAAAAACTTATACATAATATCTTAGTTGTAATAATGATAATTAAAATTTCTATAAAATGTATAATAATTTTTATGAATTTCATTGTCACATGTTTATACAGTANTTACTCTTGGACCCAGGAAGCCTTCAAACATAGAGAAAAGCAAAAACATTTTGGGTTTTTTTTGTATGCATCGATGTTGGAATGTGTGTGGTGGTGACACAATTTAATTCAACCACATTGAGACTTAACTTCACCTGTGTTATTCCCAATACATATCGGGGTCATGACCTTTGATCCGCAAGGTTAAACCCAATATATCTTGTTACGGTATTGGTACATTTTTGGAACTAGATGTCGCTAGTTGTTATAATTTTCATATTAAAAATAAATTCCAAAATATAATATGTTTTTGTTTTTATATTTATTAATATATTGATATCTATTTTGTTTGTGAAAAATAAAAAAATAATTTCAGACAATACAATAGCCACAATTATTTTTTTTAAAAACTTAAAATTTTTTATTAGGCTTAACAGCGACAAAAATTCAACATGGTGGCCACATGCAACAGAGAAAAATTTTAATGTGGGATAGGTTACTAACTCCTGTGTTAAACCATCCAGCTCCGATTCAAAAATCACAGAAGTTATTAAGCTTAAAACGGAGTGAACAAAATCGTTCCTCCTACACACAGGAAAAAAATTCACAAATTTTTTGCATATCTCAACATTTCAAAGAGAATCCTAAGTTCAAAAATGTAAAAATTTGAGGGGATACTTTTTGACTGATCAGTATACTTTCCCAGCTGTTATATATAATAGCTAGTATTGCTGTTATAAAATAAAAATTATTGAATACACACTTATATATTGACTATGTTATTACTTAGAAGAGTCTTTTAGCTTTGAAATAAAAAGTTTTTACGTTTTGTCTTTATTAGAACTATATTTATTGAAGCTTTTATTCTGAGATCTTGTGATGACATTAGAATTCCTAGGCCTATTTTGTTAACAAGTTTGCCCTGGTTAGAGTCAGAGTTGGTAGATTTTTACACAGCTTCACAGCCCTGATTAATTATGAAAGATATGGTTATCTTAGAATCTGATATGTTCTTTATAATGGAGAGCATCCTTTGTTTTTACATAACTTTTTCTGAAAGGATCTTTTTTGTTAGTTGGGATTTTTATGGACAAATTGATGTAATTAAAATTTTTCATGAAATAGATAATTAGATACATTGGATTACTAAATAGCTATTAAATAATTTGTTTTTTTTTAACTTTTTAGGAATAAATTTTAAAAAATGTATATGTAAATATTTAAAGAAAATACATTTCTTGTTAAAATCAACTTTTTAAATTATTCTTTTTTCAATAATAATAAAGTTGCACTATTATAAAAAAGCATTTTTTAATGAGATGGTAAGGCTTGATTTGATGACCTTGACTTTAAAGTGTCATGGTAAAGATTAAATATACAGGTAACCCCTGTATAACATGGCACTTCTATAGCACGGATTCACTCTAACACGGTTTGAGAATTGGAAACATCCCCGTATAACATGGTGTGCTTTTATGGCACGGGTTCACTCTAACACAGTTTGGGAATTGGGTAAAACCCTCGTACAACATGAAATGTAATAAAGGGGGTTCTTTTATATCTCTGCGTAACTTTGCATGAGCATTCTAATTGTTTCCATGGCTACTTTGAATGCTTTTCAACAAATAATCCATTTAGTGGTTAAATTTTACAATTGGGACCCTTCTTTTGCCTCTAAAAGCTCATTTTAGAATTATAGATTCCTTCATCACGATACTATCGATAGTGCGGGTGCCGCCATCTTTCTTTCACTGTTGTTCCTAAATGCTTACAAACAGCAGTGCAGACGACCACTATTAACGAATGCACCCAGTTGCAGAATGACTGCTATTAACGAACGCACCCAAAAACTGTTACCAGTTGATGATGCTCATGCTGAGATCATCATATAGGATGAATAATCCTCTGGTAAAATATTTACTTAAATAATAAATAAGTATTTTACCTTTGAAAAAATGAATAATAAATCCGATTTAAATAAGGATTTAACAGCATGTTTTTTAATTTTTGGAACCTAACCCCCCTTTTCACACTAGTTCTTTGTTTTGTATAACACGGATTCACATAACACGGCAATTTTTTGGAATGTAACTCCCGTGTTATACGGGGGTTACCTGTATACTATTTTATATTATTTAACTCTGTTTAAACATTGTTATATATTTCGCAAATAGTTTTAAAGTTTTACTAATTAATGAAACATCAGAAATTTCTTAATATGAAGAAATTCTGGGTTATCTGATCTATGATACTTTGGTAAAAATTTGTTTGATTGTTAAATGACTAATTAAAAGAATTTTTAAATTGAACTTATGTACTTTTTCCATTTGCTCTAAAAGAAATGTTTTAAATTATTTAAGGTTTTATATTAATTAAATTCCATTATGAGTACATTTTGTAGNAAGGTATATATATATATTATATATGATTTATAATATTAAATATTAATTTAAATTTTATATTAATATTTCCAGGTCATGTATACACTGCAATTGGAGATTATCCCAATGCTCTTGCAAGTCATAAACAATGTGTACAGTTAGTCAGACAAATGGGAGATAGATTACAAGAAGCTCGTGAAATAGGCAATGTGGGGGCAGTTTATTTAGCAATGGGAGATTTCGGAAAGGCCGTAGATTGCCATTTAGAACATCTTTGTTTAGCTAAACAACTTGGAAATAAAGTTGAAGAAGCTAGAGCTTACAGTAATCTTGGATCTTCTCATCATTATCGACGAAACTTTGAACAAGCAATTACATTTCATAGCCATGTTTTAAGAATTGCTCAAGAACTTGGAGACAAAACTATAGAAGCCAGAGCTTATGCAGGTCTTGGACATGCAGCTAGATGCATGGGTGATTATCAACAAGCAAAAAAATGGCATGAGAAACAATTGGATATGGCATTGAGCACAAAGGTATGTAATTTCTTGTCATTGCTACAAATGTATTTTGTGATGGTAAATGCAAAGCAAAGTATTAATAGTTTTGTAATTAAAACTGAATTTATTAATAATATATTAGTTTTAAGTTGCTTTGGAATATATTTTGATTTTGAAATAATAGACATGTAATATTAAAATTTAAAATCATAAAAATATGAAGAATCTTCATAGAATGATTCTTCATATTTTTTATTAAATCATTAAAAGTCAATTTCTTTTTTTATTAGTAGTAATGATATACTGTAATAACAAAACTATTTTTTTTGCCTTTTGTGCATCACCTATGATTTTTTTGCAATAAAGAATGAAAAAAAGTTATTTGGGTTTTACTCATGCAAGTGTAAACTGTTCATATAAATCATAAAAGATATAAAAGAATTTTTTCAGATATGGGCTATGGATTTTATTTAAAATACCAAAATTTTAAACTTTTAGAGATTTATTAAACTAAATTAATACATTTTTCTTTAAATTTAGAGAGAAATTTTTAAAATTCATTAAGAAATATTTTAAAAATTGATGTGGAGTAATCTAACAAATTATAATACATTAAAATATTATTAAGTTATAATCTCTCCACCTACAAAGCAAGTCCTATGGAAATAATGAATATGAGTCCCTAAACCAGAAACAAAATGATAGTATGAGAAATGTTTTCATTAAAATATCAATTGTTCAGTTCAAAGCATCTTATTTTTATAATAATGTATTTGCTAATTAAAATAAGAAGTCATTGTATTAATAACAAAAAATGAAATTTATATGTTTTTTATGACTTGCTAATCATTATTTGTGTATTATTGAAAAACACAATATTTATTACAGCACGTTTTTCTGTAGAATAACAGAATATATTTGAAAATATTTAAAACTTGTATATATAGTTTATAGTGGATTCTCATATCAAGGTGTCATTTTGTTAATTTATTAATTTTTGTCATACACTTGGTTGTATAAATTTTTCATATTCTGTCTACACTTTGTTCTTACATTTTTTGAAATTTTGATTTAATGCTATATTTTCACTAATTTTTGTGTATCTTTTGTTTCTTAAGAGTTAAAGTTTTGTTGGTAATTCATGGAATCATTGTCCTGGAGTCAGTGTTGTTGATTGTCTTCTTGACAGCAGATAAAATTGTCTCCGAATTTTTTCAGCTATTATTTATATCAGTTTATGGTTGAAATACTTGTCAGATTTTTCTCAATTGCATGCACATATCTATCTCTAATATTCGTATATCAGAACAACCTTTTGGGTTAATCAGATATACAATATTCTGCTTTTGTGAAGTTTTCTTTAATGGCATTTTCTTGAATTTAATTAACTGTACAAATTACTGGTTTGTGATTTGATCCATAATCTCCATCCCGCTTGATAATAGAGTTTCTCTAATGCATTTATAATAAAATGAAGTCAGTTTGTACATTTTATTGGATGAAACCCCTTGTGTGTGCCTTATAATAGCAGAACTCTTGAAGCAGATATTGCTGATGCCATACAGATATATGTTATATAATTTTACTAGTTTTTGTCCATTTTTATTTCTTACTTCCAGACCTCTTTTGGTCTGGAAGTAAGACCTCATTTTCAACCTCATTTTCTTCTCTTCCCAGGTCACGCTTGGCATTGAAGTCATCCATTATAATTAAAATTTCTTGATATCTTAATTTCTTTATAGTGTTTTTTAAAAGGCCATAGAGCTTAGTTGTCTCTGCTTCATCATGTCCTAGCATTTGAACCATTAAATAGATTTTGGTCTTATCTTGTAGGTGCATACCAACCAATAATTTTGTCAGAAATGTGAAAAATTTTTATGATAGCATTCTTGTTAGCCATGAGGCTTATTCTTTTCTGTAAAATTTCTAACTGGTGTTATAGACCTTAAATTAAAAGCCTCTTAGCATAGCCACTGTGTAATTTGGCTTTGGTCATTCTCCTGGAGACTTCTGCTGTACTTATAAGATCAATATTTATAGAGAAATTTAATTTTAATAATGAAATAAATCTCATTTTACAAATTAAGGTTTACTTTTATATTCACAGGAATAAGTCATAACATTAACAGTTCTTACAAGAGCTGTTAATTTTATGCTATGACTTATAATAATTCATATTTATACACAATCTCTAATAACATATTTATAAATGATAAATATGGACATTAAAATTATTTTAAAAGATTCATAATTTTCAATCTTTTTGCATTATGTAACTATTTGTGAACATTTGAATACAGTATATTTTGTTAAAATAGTTTATTTATTTATTATTTTAGTAAGAATGATACATTCTAAATATCTAAAGTGTACATTTTTTTAATATACAGGATAAAGTTGCAGAAGGTAGAGCCTGTTCAAATTTAGGTATTGTTTATCAACTTCTTGGAGATTTTGATGCAGCAGATAAATTACATCAAGCTCATCTGAACATTGCTAGAACTTTAGGAGATAGAGCAGGAATGGGAAGAGCTTATGGCAATATTGGAAATGCGTATAGTGCTATGGGTCGCTATGAACAAGCAATTAAGTTTCATAAACAAGAATTAACAATCTCTAAAGAAGTTAATGATAGAAGTGCAGAAGCATCCACTCATGGAAATCTTGCAGTAGCATATCAAGCCTTAGGAATGCATGAAATGGCTCTCTTACATTATCATAGTCATCTAAATATTGCACAGGAACTTAAAGATACAGCAGGTGAAGCTTGTGCCTTATGCAATCTTGGAAATTGCCATAGCTCAAGAGGAGAATTTGCTCAAGCAGTACCTTATTATGAAAGTTTTTTAAGACTCTCTCAAGAAATATTAGATGTGGAAGGAGAAGCAAAAGCTTGTCACTTTTTGGGTTATGTTCATTATTGCTTAGGAAATTATAAGGTATGTTAATTACTTGTTAAATGAAATAGTATTAGATCTAAAAACAGAAATATATTGATAGTGATATTAATTTCTTTATATAATAGATGATGATATGTTTAGTGTTATTTATTTTTAATATTTTTTTTTTCATGTGTTTTTTATAAATAAATTTTTTATAAATGTTTAATATGTTTTGTTGAAATTAAAATCATAAGGCTCAGTAGAGGCAAGCTGTCAAGAAAGTGTGCAAATGAATGAACAAATGGCTTAACAACATTTTCTGTCTATCCCAATTCACATTTTATTAAAAGAAACTAAAGATATATGTGCCATCTAGACAAAATACGAATATTGTTGTCATCTGCTAATTTTTTTATTTCTGTATCAAATTTCATCAAGTTCAATCCATTCATTCTTGATAACAATTTTTAGATATTTTTCATTTCACTTAAAAACTCTTCTTCTTTTCTCATTGAGTCAAAAAAGTTACATTTTATGAAATGTCCACTAGGGGTGCACTCATTATGTTCGTCATTTTAATTTTAATTTTTTTTTGACAAAATTTAAATTTTTAAATAACACAATATTGAAATTATTTAAATTATATTAGTCTATATTAATATCTCCAAAAATATATTTGTAAATCTTACAGGCACAGAAACTGCCATCAAGCATGTGTTGATCAATAGTTTTTAAATTAATACAGTTTCTTCTTAGATGTACTACATGAAACACAATACAGTATGATATTTTCCTTCAATGACTATGTTTTACATTCATAATCATTTCACTGTGGAAAGTCATGATATCAGGGACATTAAGGAATTGTTCCAGCATCAAAAGCTGTAATATTGGTGTCAAGAATTTTCATTATATACAGTTTTTGTATCAGTGCCAATGTCATTTTTACTAAAACAATATTTTGATTTGCGAACTTATGTTTGGCAGTGCATTACAAATTTATTTCATTACTAATTATTCCGATGTTTATTTCAATATAAACAGTTTGAAGGAATTATTATCACATTATATATACTTTAAAGTAATAGTGAAAAGCATTATGATCTGCAATGAATGCAATGCCAAGTGTGAGTTTCCAAACCAAAATATTGTTTTATTAAAAATGACATTGGCACTTACTATAAAAACTGTATATAATGAAAATTCTTGACACCACTGTTATAGCTTTTGACATCAGAACGATTACTTGACATCCCTGATTATTTTTTTGAAGTTTTTGTTTTTGAAGTGTATGTTTTTGAAGATTTTCTTCACTAAGGTCAGTATATTCTTTATAAAAAAAAATCATGGACTATTATTTTTGATAAAGGTAAAAGATGTATTGTACATAATATCAAATTAGCAAATACACTTTGTACAAAAATGACATTAAAAAATTATTAATCATAATCATTTGTATCTAACTAAAATATTTTTAGAAACTTAATTCATTTTTAATGTTATTTATTGTACAATAGATCATGCTCATTAATAAAGAATTTTATGGCTATGTTGGTATTTAATGGATTTGAATATATTTTTATGATAATAGACTTTTTGGAATATTCTATATATAAAATAATTGTATTTCAGTTATGTTACTATGATATATAAAGTGTTTATGTGGTAGATAATATTATTTTTTATAATAAAAGTCTAAGTTTGATATTGAATTCTGATATCAATGATATAATATATTTTAATAATTTAATTTATTTATTAGGAAGCAGTTCATTACTATGAAAGAGATTTAGCATTGGCAAAAGATTTACAAGATCGTATGAGCATGGGAAGAGCATATTGCAATTTGGGATTATCACATTTGGCTTTAGGAAATTATGAAGAAGCTTTAGAATGTCAAAAATATTTTCTAGCTCTTGCCCAAATGATGAAACATGTTCAGGTAATTTTATAATTTTATTAATTTAATCAATTTAAAAGTAGTGTAGATTTTTAAACAATTGAATTATAATAATCATTTTTATAAATAATATTTAAATACAGAAAATATGATTGAAATTTTTTATAATATAATTACAAACAATCATTATATCTCTAACTGCATTATTAATTAATAAACTCCACCATACCTTTAAAATGCAGTCTATTTTAGCAAGTTTAAATTCTTTACGTCGATCCTGAAGAAGGTCTGTTAATTTGACCAAAAACGTTCAATAACTTGTTAAAATAGACTGCATTTTAAAGGTATGGTGGAGTTTATTAATTACAAACAATTTTTCCATATTATAATTTTTTAAGATTTTAAATTAAGGATATTTCTAAGTTAATTATTGTTTACATAATACAGTATTACCTCAGGATACAAAATTAATCTGTTCCAAAACTGAGATCATATCCTGAAAATTTTGTATGCTGGGACGTTCGTATCCTGAGGTACTACTGTATATGTCTTCTTAATATACTGCTTTCATTTCTGTTATGTCTTGTTATTTCCATTGCAAAAAGATAAATTTTTTTACTTGTTCTAAATATATAAGATCACATTAATTTTAGTTAATATCAAAATATTACTGTCTATTTTTATAAATAACCCTGGGATTAATTATAAAAAACTATGTGGCTTGAGTGTAAAATATTCACAACAAAAATAAGGCCAGGCTTATTGTTGGAAACTTATTTATTAATAAAAATTATACTTTCATTTATTAAAAGAATCATAATTCATCAGTTTCTAAATTGTTGTATTCCAATATTTTGATACTATTCTTGTTTACTTCTTCTTTGGCATTATTATTTTATATTAGGCTTCTGTACATTCTTCAGATTTAACAAGTCCAACTGGTGTGCAACCACATAAACTTTGTGTTTTAGAGATATTGTAGTTGAAACAACTATGTATTGATGGTAGTTATATGAAGTTCAATAGAAACAAAAAGTAATCAGCAGTTTGTAACATATGGAAATAATCAGTCACTAGAATAGAGTATAAGAATGAAAAACACAACAACACAGTAAAAAATTATTCAGTTAATTTAGAAAATATTTAAATTTTTTTTTATTATTCTATTTTGTATCATTGGAATTAACTTGTTAATGAATTATGATTGCATATTGAAATTATATTTTTAAATTGAAATTTTATTTTTTCAGGGAAAATTTAGAGCTTTAGGAAATTTAGGTGATGTATTAATGAAAATGAAAAATACAACTGAAGCTGTTAAAGTTTACCAAAAACAATTAGTTATATCAAAACAAAGTAGAGATAAAGCATTGGAAGCTGCTGCCTATGGTGCTCTTGGTTTATGTCATCGTCAAATTCAGTGTTATGATAAAGCATTAGGCTATCATACCCAGGTATGTTAAAGGTTTTTGTTCTGTAGGTAACATAAAAGTAGTTTGATTATTAAATTGAATATACAATAGACACTCTATAACTTGAATGGGAAAGGACAGAAAAAAATATCAAGTTAACAAAATTTTGAGTTATAGAAACTACCATTATATTAATGAGATAATGTAAACATTACAATACAAACAATACAGTTAGACTTAAATACATTATAGTTTATAAAAAGAAATATTTATTTTAATGAAAAATAGTATTGATAATTTTTAATACAAGTTAGATGATAATTCTCTCATTTTAAAATAATGAATAGCTTGAATTGTCATTTGCATATTAAATCAATTTATAAATATCTGAAAATTAATTATTGTGTGTCTAAATTACAATAACCATAAATAATTTATAACATTTATTTTTAGGAATTAACCATCAGGCAAGAAATGGGTGATGTGAGAGGTGAATGCAAAGCACATGGTCATTTAGGAGCTGTTCATGTATCATTAGGAAATTATACTCATGCAATTAAATGTTATGAAGAACAGTTGGAAAGGGCAAAAGAATTAAGAGATTGTAATCTTGAAACTCAGTCTTTAGGAAACTTGGGCATTTCGCATCTAAATATGGGTCATTTTGAAGATGCCATTGGTTATTTTGAGCAACAATTAGCACTATTAGAACAGGTAATTTAATTTAGAAATGATGTAAAAATAATAATAATTTTAAAAATAAATTTAATTGTAATAATTCCATTTTTGAAAGTTTTAAACATATATTAATAATGTATTAATTTAAGAAAAACTGATGTTCCATGGAAGGCTTAAAATGACTGTATCAGATCTGAAAAATTGTATAGTTTTTAAGACAAAGTTAAAACATTCATAAAAATAAAACAAGGATATTTTACTCTGAAAAATAAGCATCCTCACAATTAATAACATTTTCCCAATGAGAAACAAGTTTATAAATTCCCTTCTTATAAAATTCTTTGTCTTTAGAAGCAAAAAGTTTGATCAACTTCTTTTCTAATATCTTCAGTTTTGAAATTGTTGGTTAAATATGTGATTGCCAAGTGATAAGAAAATATGAAAAAGATGATGAGAGGTCTGGTGAATTTGGGGTGGCGTAGAATTTCACAAGAAAGGCTATGAAGCTTTTCTTGAGTTATTCTTGAAGTGTGCAGTTTTGCATTATCTTGAATAAAGATATTTGCTATTAATCAGCACTAGACATTTTTGGAAACTCTTTTCATTTATACATTGCAGCTGAGAAAACGTCTCCTGTGATTGTTTGATCTGAAGATAAGAGTTTGTAACGAACAGTATCTGTTATTTTCTACTAAACACACACGAAAAATTTCAATACTTACTGGGGCAGATCAAAAATATCCCAGGACAGATTTTATTTTAGAAAAACAAAAGCAATTACCAGTCACTGAAGTTATCTCTTTCAAAGTACAACCTTCTAGATTGTATGCAACAGTTATAGTGATCCTTCAACTTTTCCATGAATGTCTGATAGGCCTGTTTGGGAATGACCCACCTTTTTTGTGTCACATTCAATTGTATCTCTGTAATATCTGATGTCTTTTCATCTTCAGGATGCTTTTGAGCCTTGGAAAGAGGAAGAAGCCACAGGGAGACAAATTGGCAAGTAAGATGGATGGGGAAATATAGGGATGTTCTGCTTGGCCAAAAATTCTGTTACACTTGGCACAGAATTCCATTGTATAGCACATTGTCATAGTACAGAAACTAGTTATCAGAAGACAATTTGTAAGGGAATTTTTAATTAGCTGCATCTCTAAGGCACTACAGAACAGTCTGTAGACATCTGTTGATCAACAGTCTCATTGATTCATGCTATTGATCATCCTGTTTATGGGTCATCATTAGTTGAAGTGCAGCCATTTTTGATATGTAAATACTACTGAAATGTTTTGGACTGACTGAGTGCTGTTTCCAAATGCTTGTTGAAACATTTCGTACATTTTGGTGACTATCTTACCAAGTTTCTAGCAAAACTTGATGCTAACATATTGTTTGTTCATCTCATCCATTTCACAATATAACAGTAGGAAATATGCCTGCACTTACTGATAATTGAGAAGTGTTGCCACCCACCATTCCCTCAAATGGTGTCAGGATGTAATGTCTTATCTATTGATCAAATTAAAAGCCCAGATAGTATTCTAATGGTGCAGATAATTCTAATGATGCATCTAATAAACAAAGGGTTTGAAAGTACCAGGCCTGGACTTTGCACAGGCAAAAAAATAAATTGTCATAAATGTCAAAACTTGAAATAATTACTATATATAATGCAAAATATCTATTTATTAGTAAAAGCCTGAATATATACAATTCAAGAAACAATGATAGAGAATAACCTGCAATTAAAGATAATTTCTCAAAAGACCAAAACAAATATATATATAAAACTTTCCCAACAATTGGGGACTTACAAATTAAACTATAACTATCTTAGAACTATTACCACAAAAACCAACAAGCAAAATATGAAAAATTATCAGAAAAGCATAATGAATCTTACTAAGTTGTCTTACCATCACCAAGAAATTCTGTCACTGGAACTGGAAAGCCTTTCATCAATCTCTCGATCTTTAGCACCATCTTGTTTGATTCTTTGCTTTGTCTCCTTGTAGTGCGGTTGAGTGACGTTACAAGCATACACCCACTCAACCCAATTTACATACTCGTTAACACTTCATTCATCCTAGTAATTGGTTCTTAATTTATGTGATCTTCCTTACAATAATTTTCTAATAGTTTTATGGCATTTTCTGATGACAATTTGGGGATGAGAGATCATTCTTTCAACTTCCTGTGGAAGTCTCCCCTAAGATGTCATTTCTGGGTTGATGACATCATAGGTTGCTGTTAGCAGTCATCATAGGGTGAGTTGATTTTGAATTTTTGCCCAGGTGAGGTGTAATAGTCTATTCTTAATGAAATAAAATGGCTCAAAAATAAATAGAATAATGAACTAAAATAATCTTCAAACAAAATAGAACTGGTTGGAATCAACTCCATACACGGAGATATAGTTAAATATTGTCAGTGTTACCATCAGTTTTTGTGATCCATTTTTCATTTTACATCAGTAATTTGCCCAAAAGAAGAGATAAACAAATTGAAAATCTTTGGAATTTGTGAATTTATGTGGAATCCATTTGCTTAATTCGTACTTTTCCCAGTCAGAGCAAGTGCAGATGAATGGTTTCATTGCTCACATCAAATCTTTCTGCAAGCTGTCCACATGTTTGACTTGAATTTGACTCAGTAGTACTCTTTAATTTGTTGTCATCAATAACTGTTGGTCATCTTTCACGAGGTGCATATTCAAAAGATTCATCTCTTGACGCAAATTTTTAATACTATTTTAAGGTCTTGCATTCACTAACTGTCCCTTCTCCAAATGCTGTGTAAATTCATAAAGTAAACATGCTCAAATAACTGTATTTGAAGCTGACATTTTGATATCAGTTTTCATATTTATTGTAGAATTACATAGTCAAAAATGTTTAAACAAATTGCTGTGAAAATTTCAACTTAGAATGGATATAACAATAACATGCCATTTACAATGAATGCTACATAATTAACATTCAAACTTGTAATTTTATAAAACTGCACAAACTGTTTTGGTTATCCAATACTTAATTTTTAATAATTAGTTCTAATACATTTTTCAGTTAACTTTTAAAATCAAAATAATTTTGTTTAGAAATTATTTTTATTTGCAATTTAAATACATTTTTAGTAACTTGTTCAGCTCTTTTTAAAAACTTTTGATGCTAAGTTTGGAAAACATTTAAATTATAAATGAACTTGCCTTCTCTATGCAGTTAAATTTATTTTGCAGTTGGCATTCTTATTTGTATTAGATTTGTAATTTATAGTTGTTTTTAAAAAAATAAATAGTTGATATACACTATGTGAATATTTTATCTGCAAAATGTTTTTAATGATTCTAATGAGTTGATATTTTTGAAGAATTTCACATTGAGTTTTATTCAACTTATTCAAACATTAAATAAAATATAAATTTTTTAAATATGGTCATAATTTAAAAAATACTGTTCCAAACTAACTGCTCTGCAGTTTAGCATTTTTAAGAATGAATAGCATTATTATCTATTAGTTGTCACTTTTATGTTATACATATCAATGAATAAAATAGTAGTAAATTATCTAAATTAATGATAAATTTTCATACTGAATACATCGTTTAATTTATACACTCACTTTCAAGGTAATAAAAAATAATAAATTTGATTCATGTAAAGTTTTAAGTTTCTATTAATAGATAATTAATATTACAGGTATTTTANAATTGAATGTAGTTTAAAAGCTTTTATGAATAGCAATAACAATGTCAGTTTAAAATTTTGTTATAATGTACTGTACATTAGTAATTTATACTCATTGATTCCATCTTTTAGTGTGCTTTATCTGTGAATAAAAGTTCTACATTTTTCTTTTTGGATGGAAATTTTTGTCCATTAAATCCAGGACCTAATGTATACATACTGGTTCTAAGATATCATTTTTAGATGATGATTAGTGTTGCAATGAATAGTGTATTCGGCCTCAGGCCGAATACCAAATATTCGGCCAGGAGTGTGGCCAAATAGCCGAATATTTGGCCAAACTATTCGGCTTGATTAACGCACGTACGAAAATTGGCGCGCAAACCGCATTATGGCAAGGACCCTGCTCTCTATTGGCCCACTGTCACTACGCTTTGCCAATCATGTTAATTCTTGAATACACTCACTTTCAAGGTAATAAAAAATAATAAATTTGATTCATGTAAAGTTTTAAGTTTCTATTAATAGATAATTAATATTACAGGTATTTTACTTTTTTGCATTATCTTGTAGTCTTTTACTGTAAGAACAAAGAATATCATTTTTTAATAATCTTTAAAACTTTGTTGATAAATATATGTTTATTTAAATTCTTAGATATTTTCTATGAAATAGTTAAACAGTTTTACATTTGAATTGTAAAATATTTTAGATAACTGTTTTAATAATACATTTTTCTTAAATTCTTACAGTTGGGTAGTAGCACAGCTTTAGTTGACAAAGGAAGAGCATATGGAAATCTTGGTAATTGTTATGATGCTCTTGGAGATTTTGAAGAAGCTGTTAAATGCCATGATCAATATTTGGCAGTTGCATTAAAAGCCCAATCTTTTCGTGATCAAGAAAGAGCTTATCGAGGATTGGGTAATTCACATAGATACTTAGGCAACCTTCAGCAATCATTGGCAAGTATATTTTCTTATTTTATAAATTAATAATTAAAAAACAATGAAATATTATTTAATTATATTCACTTAAATAGCAATAAAAGGAATAAGTTTTAAATATTGCAAAGGCATGGATTTTTCAAATTATAAATTTCTTTATTCAAAAATCTAATGCATACAAATTTTAATAATTGTATATTGTAATAATTTTCACTTATATAAGAATTTTTGACACTTTCTATGTTGTTGTGCTGCAATTTGAAAAAATTGTAGATCTATAAATTCCCACTGCCTGTCGTTCTTTAATCTTGAGAACAGAGTTTGATAGATGAAAGCCAAGACCAGATATGGAAAGATTAGGGACTGGAGGCCCTGATTAACTATATACGAACTTATGATGCAAACTGGAAGTCACATTATTTTAATTTGAAAATTTCTTCCGAAAGGAGTTAGATAGATGATTGACATGACTCTGTTGCTAACAGGAAAAATATGATGCACAGGGGCAAGACACTACTCATTTGAGATGGAGAGCATTGTGTATTGTGTGTTAAAAATTAAAAATCTTCTAATTGCAGCCCAGCATTGTGACAATGTCACAATAAATAATTGTTTATATTATGAAAATATTCAAATTCATTTTATGAAAATTAGATGAATTATTTGGAAATACACACATTTTGGGTATTATTTATGTTAGTGTAAAAATTAGATTCCAATGTCTTTTATACCAGTAAAATTTTCATAAAGATCAAAATTGATATTTTCAATTTTCATAAAAAGCTTTATCTTGAATAATTATTGGAATGTAAAGAAATTTTAAATAATATTTTATTTAATTATAAGATCATAGTATTTTGTAAACACATTTTATTTTATTTTTTTGTCTTGTTATATTCTATATGAATTTTTCTTTCTTATAAATAATAATAATAATATAATTTATATTTAAATAGGTATGTTTTGAAAAAAGACTAGTTGTAGCCCATGAATTAGGTAGCACTAGTGCTAAAGCTGCAGGTTATGGAGAATTGGGTGGAATTCACAGTCAACTTGGCAATTATGAACAAGCAATTTCTTGTTTAGAACATCAAATGACATTAGCCAGAGATTTAGATGATAGAACAGCAGAAGCAGATGCTGCCTGTGGTCTCGGATGTGTTTATCAGCAAATGGGAGAACACCAAAGAGCATTGCATTATCATCAGCTTGATTTAGCCATTGCTGAAGAAACACAAAACATGGCTGCTCAAGGTCGAGCATATGGAAATTTAGGAATAGCACATGAATCATTAAGTAATTTTGATCAAGCCATTTTATATCAAGAACAACATTTAAGTATTGCTGCCCAAGTCAATGATAAAGTTGCAAAAATTTTAGCATACAGCAGTCTAGGTAAGTATTATTTTAACAGGTTGCCTTATATATATATAACAGGCCCTTGATTTAATGGACTGACTGGCGAAAGGATTGCTAAAAGTTCATTAAATTGAATGTAGTTTAAAAGCTTTTATGAATAGCAATAACAATGTCAGTTTAAAATTTTGTTATAATGTACTGTACATTAGTAATTTATACTCATTGATTCCATCTTTTAGTGTGCTTTATCTGTGAATAAAAGTTCTACATTTTTCTTTTTGGATGGAAATTTTTGTCCATTAAATCCAGGACCTAATGTATACATACTGGTTCTAAGATATCATTTTTAGATGATGATTAGTGTTGCAATGAATAGTGTATTCGGCCTCAGGCCGAATACCAAATATTCGGCCAGGAGTGTGGCCAAATAGCCGAATATTTGGCCAAACTATTCGGCTTGATTAACGCACGTACGAAAATTGGCGCACAAACCGCATTATGGCAAGGACCCTGCTCTCTATTGGCCCACTGTCACTACGCTTTGCCAATCATGTTAATTCTTGACAGCTCAGACAAGAGCGTCATGGCAGTATGTGATAAATGATGATATCAAATGTGGATAACAATGAAATGACATACACGTGTAAATAATGGAAGAAGAACAGAGAAGAACTGCAAAGTGAAAATGTGAAAATAAATATGAAATTGAGTTGATAACATAATTGAACAAGTCAAGGCAGCTTATTGGCCTGAAATTCGCGGCCGTGAATGCCAAACAATTGTTGTCATAGACTTCGGAAAGCTAAATGCTTGTAATGAAAGTCGCTTAGCGTGCACGGGCGAAAGCCTGGGGTTGTTCGGGCTACCAAGCTGTCTCAAATCTGTGAAATCATAATTTTGACTTATACAGACATCTTATCTGTCTCAAATCTGTAAAATCATAACTTTGACTTATACCGACGTTCTATCTGTCTCAAATCTGTGAAATCATAGCTTTGACTTATACCGACGTCCTATCTGTCTCTTTTCTTTGTTATCACCAGGCTATGAGTCGCGTAATTGTAAAATGGGAAATCTACAATGGAAAAGTGATGAATCGAAAGTATCATGAGGGCGTATTATGATGTATGCATAGGCATACGTGGACTAGAGCGATAGAGGAAAGAGAAAGGGAAGAGCAAAGACGAGCACTTAAAAAGAAGGATAGACAGGGTCAGATCCTCAGATGTGCGACGATTCTCGAATGAATAGGTGTGTACGTGTGCTGATCTTTGTAATTATAAATTGTGAATACAAGTGACTAATATTATGTTCTTTCTTATTTTGTGCATGTTATAAGTTATAAATAAATATAAACAACAACACTAACTCGATAACATTAAATCTAAATACCAAAATGATTAATTTACTGTGTTTTTGTTATTTCTTACTCCTGTTTTTAGGTATTTGGTATTCCTTATTCGGCCGAATACCGAATAGTAATGGAATATTCGTTACATCACTAATGATGATTGTTATTTAAGTACTAATTGAAAATAGTATTTCAGAACTATTATATTTTTGTGAGATCTAACATTTTTTTTCTTTAATATCAATAAAAGAATAAATGATAAACTGAAAAAGACACATTTATTGGGCTGCAATTTGAGAAAATTATAGACCTATAAATTTCCAATGTCGTCTGTCTGTCAGTATCAGATAGATGAAAATCAAGACCAGATATGGAAAGCTTAGAGCTGGAGTCCTCAATTTACTATATACAAACTTCTGGTCTAGACTGGAAGTGATGTGATTTCAATGCAAAAATTTTCTCCTGAATGGAGTTACATAGATGACTAGCATGACTCTGTTGTTATCATGAAAAGTATGATGTATAGGGACAAGACCTCACTAATTTGAGATTGAGAACATATATATTAAACTAAAAATCTATTATTAGAAATTGCATCACTAATATATTATTAATATCTTTGAAAGAAAGTAATACATTTGCGATTATTAATATACTCGAAATTTGTAAATAAGTTAATAAAAATACTTTAACATAATTTAAGTACTGTACATTACGGTATTAATTACTTTTATTAAGCGAAAAACATATTAATTAATTTATAACAAAATTTAAAAATTTCAATATAAAGTAATGTAATATTTATAATTATTATTTTATTTATTACAAAAAGTGAAGATTATGTTTAGCCATAACGTTTAAATTTATAATTAANTGATTCATATTGAATCTATATATATATATATATATACACAGTATATTTGATCCTCACTTTCTATATTTCTATAAAGAAATATATTTAAAGCATATTATTTATTTATTATTAAAAATGCATCATATTATGAAAATAGTAAAATAAAATTATATCTTCAAAAACTGACATAATAGAAATTTCCACAAATAATTTGGAATTTGATTATATGATAAGGTAATGCTGCTAGATTTAGATATCAGTATAGATTGAATCTAAATCTAGACTCATGATTTTCAAGTATAGTATAACTTGAGCTGTCATGTCTGTCTCATCTCTTTTCTTATTCATACTGCTGGCGTATCAGTGGACTTGATGATGATGAACAAAATTGACTATTGTCAAAATTCCTTGATATTATGCATTACAAAATTGAATCAAATTAAATCAAATTCTTTAATAATTCAGTGTAAGTTTTCATTTGATTTGTGAATAGTTGTTTCTTTAAAACGTACTTTTTTCTTCTTTCTCTTTCAAAACAGATTTTAACACAAACATGTCACCCATTTTGATACACAGATTAAATCAATTAGTTTGTAGTTTTATAAATTTGATATGCTTATTTTTTAAACTAATAAGCATAGTCATACCTATTCAATTTGCCAATACAGTAGAGTCCCGAAAACTCGGGCTAATGTGGACCAAAGGGTGGCCGAGTTTGTGAAAATGTTGGGTTATCAGGAATGGGGTTAAAAAAAATAATAAGTACAAGTGTTTCGTCAGAAAATACTGTACTGTACTTGTACGTATTGTTTGCTTGAGAATACAACAGAGAATAAACTGCCCAAATACCCTTAAANTTCTTTGTTGTATTTTGTGCATAGAACGTGAAGAATTTAAGAAATAAAGTGTTGTGGATTTATCTATGATTTAGATGCAGTTACATTGTAACTAGAGGTGTTGCATTTGTCTTCTTTCCCACCTAAAATATCACGGATTTTTAAGAGCATGTCAAATACAGTGTAGAGACTTTGGATTATCTGAAAGTGTATAAATTATATTTCCGTTTATATAATTATCGAGAAAATAATTTATATTATTATAAAAACACTCATAATAATTATTATCCGAGTTCGAAGATTTATGTTTACCTTAACGGGACAATCTTTCGACATTATAAAGCAATCTCCACAATTGATTCCGATTTCTTCTTCACGAAATTTCTTCATGAAATTCAACATCTGTACAAATATATTCTGGTTAATGAAAGAAGCGTTTTCTATAACAATCCTCAATTTCTTTACCTTTAATTTATCTTCTAAACGTCGAGAGTAAGCTCCCAATCTTCTGATTTCTTTGAATGAATCATAAGCCTAGGCAATATATTATTATTATTATTATTATTATTATTTTGTATAATATCTATGAAATATATTCAGGAAATGCTACTGATGTTAACTGTACCATACAATTATATTTATGTAATTGTTCGCATGATGTACAGTTCCATACGTGATAACCTTGCTATGAATTGTTATATTCTACCTGATCAGCTGAGTGATATGCTGAAATATTAGATAATAAATTTTAAAGATAATACTTCTTCCTGTTTTCCATCATCAGAAATTTACAATTAATTAATTAAATACACTCTTTGTGTCATCTCTGACAGATGCTGTTTTCATTTTTGAATATTTTATTTAATTAATCAATTTTACAAACATTAATTTGTATAAGTAGAATATTTGCACATTTGCCATTGTGCTTTTTCTGGCTAATATCTGTAGGCATATTTCTACCAAATCTAAATCTTAATAGATTAGATATCATACTGTGATTCAGTAAATAATTTAGTCATATTAAAATAAATACAAATAGAGAAATTTGAATAACAACAATAATTTGATGCATTTTTAAACATATTTTTATTAAAGCCTCCCAAATAATTTTAAAACTTTTTATTTTAGGACGTGTGCATCATGCATTAGGTAATACACCTCAAGCTGTAACTTATTTGCAACAAGGTTTGCAGATTGCTGAACAACTTGGCAGAAGAGAAGATGAAGCAAAAATCAGACATCAATTGGGACTTGCATTATGGAGAAATGGTGATCTTGAAGGTGCCCAGCAACAGCTTTATCGTGCTGCTGATTTATTTGAAAGTATACGTTATGAAGCTAGAGGAACAAGTGATTACCAATTGTCATTATTTGATTTACAAATGGCATCGTATCAAGCTTTACAGGTAAATTTTAGAAAATATTTTAATTTGTTATTGCTTATATTTTCTAAAGAATTATTTATTTTTCACTCAAATAAAAAATTTTTTCATTGGAAGGTAAGTCAGTTTAAATTAAAATTGAAGACTGAATCTGTCAGAAAAACAGTTACCAGTTATTCACTTTCACTGTTCTGGAATATTGCTTTTGACAACTGATGCTTTTGTTGTAGTTTACTTTAATTGGGGACTCTACATAGGAACTAATAGGGCTTAAGCCCTAGGCCCCAAGTTTCAAGGGCTCACAAAAATTGAATTATTATCATAATTTTTAATACTTTTTCATTAACAATGAGCACTTATCCTATAGTAAAAAATAGTTAATATTAATAATATAATAATAATGATAATTTATAGTATTATTTATATTAACAAAAAATGGAGCCCAATTGGACTTCAATAAGCCCTAGGTTTTGAAAATCCTAGATCTGCCCCTGACTTTAGCTGTCNATTTTTGAAACTGTGGATAGACAAAAAGCTACTGTTTTGTATTACAGTATAGCAGGAGGTTATTTATATATTTGGTTGATTGCACCTAACAAAGGTAATTACCTGAAAATAACTTTTATTTTATATACATTTTAAAATCATTATATTTAATCAAATAACATATTGTCTATTTAAATGCTTTAGGAATTGTTAAATTTCACGAAAGCAATATTAGTGATCTGGAATCAGAAAATAATACAAATCAGCCAGGTTCTTTACCACCATCAAGTTCCTTAATAGATCAATATGTAAATTCTGTTCGAGAAGCACTTGGTGTAGAAATGCCTACTTGTCAAAGTGGTGGAATAATAAGTGAAACAGAAAGTGAAGTAGTATTATTTATATTAACAAAAAATGGAGCCCAATTGGACTTCAATAAGCCCTAGGTTTTGAAAATCCTAGATCTGCCCCTGACTTTAGCTGTCAAATTTTTAAAAATTTCTTTAAAAACTGAAAAAATATCTGAGTAAAAACATAAACACGTAAAATAAGAGCTGGTAAGATGTTTNTAATTTGTTATTGCTTATATTTTCTAAAGAATTATTTATTTTTCACTCAAATAAAAAATTTTTTCATTGGAAGGTAAGTCAGTTTAAATTAAAATTGAAGACTGAATCTGTCAGAAAAACAGTTACCAGTTATTCACTTTCACTGTTCTGGAATATTGCTTTTGACAACTGATGCTTTTGTTGTAGTTTACTTTAATTGGGGACTCTACATAGGAACTAATAGGGCTTAAGCCCTAGGCCCCAAGTTTCAAGGGCTCACAAAAATTGAATTATTATCATAATTTTTAATACTTTTTCATTAACAATGAGCACTTATCCTATAGTAAAAAATAGTTAATATTAATAATATAATAATAATGATAATTTATAGTATTATTTATATTAACAAAAAATGGAGCCCAATTGGACTTCAATAAGCCCTAGGTTTTGAAAATCCTAGATCTGCCCCTGACTTTAGCTGTCAAATTTTTAAAAATTTCTTTAAAAACTGAAAAAATATCTGAGTAAAAACATAAACACGTAAAATAAGAGCTGGTAAGATGTTTTTTTTATCCATGCCATTTCCAGCCTATAGAACTTTTTTCTACTGAGGTAAGTGCTGGCAAATGTAGATTTTTAGCTGCTCCAGATGATGAATCTTTGTAGAATATTTTCAATTTTTAAAATTTTTTTACTAGATGGAAATTAAGTATGAAATGTAAGAAAAAAATTATCACACGTAAACAAAAATTATTTTAGTATGAAATGATCTTGAATTTAAAGAATCTATTTGCCATAGAGATGATGGAAGTTTAATAGAGTGCTTCCATTCTATACTAGAAAATAAATTGTTGCTACAATAGATAAAATTTTGAATTTGTGTGACTTTTAAATTTGTCTTTATGTTGTTTTATTAAAGTAAAATAAAATCACATAGATAAATGATTAAATACTTAAAACAAAACATTCACATTTTGCACAAATGCACATTGTATGTACTGTAATTTTATGTTAACAATCTGATCTAGTGTATGCCCTGCAGAAAATTTTTAGAACATAAATAAAACCTTTGCATAAACTACCCCATTGTATATTCCATGCCACTGGAGCAGCCATTAAAAGCATGATACTAACTGATATGCAAACATTAGATGTGATTATAAAATAATAGAAACAGAACAAAGAGAGAACCTTCTAAACTTTGTGTTTTGAAGATACAAATACTTGTCAAATGACAAAAAAAAATAAATTTTTAGCCATATTGCTTCATTTCTGTTTTATTTATCAAACAATGATATTATTATCTTATAATCAAGATGGGTTGGTAATAATAATAATGATGATAATAATAAGTGCAGAGCCCAAATGGTTAGGGGTTGAAAGTTGAAATTTGGTACACAGTTAGGATACATTATGAGAATGCACACTAAGATGGGATTTTTGGAAATTCTCCTGTGGGGAAAGGGAGAGGGTTAAAGATTCTACTGGAACTTGGATTCTACTGTACTATTTTAGATGTGGTTTTTTGCATTTTTGCAGGAAATCGAACATATTTTTAGACCCATCTAAAAATTCTGTAATTAGCCTCAGAAGAGGAGGGACTAATTCTTGCACCCTGTGAAAACGAGTGCAAGAATATAACTATATAATTATAAAAGTTATCTTACATAAGGGTTTATCACACCAAGTGCCCAATCTAACACATTTAAAAATTTTTTTATTCCTCTGCTGTACACAATTAAAAAATTTTTTAAATGTTTTCGATTGGGTACTCAGTTTGATAAACTCTTACATAAGATAACCTTTGTAAATATAAATCAAATACCATAACATAATATTATACAAGGGTCAGAAGTACAAAATAATCTAATAATCTTAATCTTTGCTGTTGTTATTTTTTTGCCGGAACAATGCCAAGCTTGTCTGCTATCTTAAAATATTTACAGNTATTTTTGAAGAATTTCACATTGAGTTTTATTCAACTTATTCAAACATTAAATAAAATATAAATTTTTTAAATATGGTCATAATTTAAAAAATACTGTTCCAAACTAACTGCTCTGCAGTTTAGCATTTTTAAGAATGAATAGCATTATTATCTATTAGTTGTCACTTTTATGTTATACATATCAATGAATAAAATAGTAGTAAATTATCTAAATTAATGATAAATTTTCATACTGAATACATCGTTTAATTTATACACTCACTTTCAAGGTAATAAAAAATAATAAATTTGATTCATGTAAAGTTTTAAGTTTCTATTAATAGATAATTAATATTACAGGTATTTTACTTTTTTGCATTATCTTGTAGTCTTTTACTGTAAGAACAAAGAATATCATTTTTTAATAATCTTTAAAACTTTGTTGATAAATATATGTTTATTTAAATTCTTAGATATTTTCTATGAAATAGTTAAACAGTTTTACATTTGAATTGTAAAATATTTTAGATAACTGTTTTAATAATACATTTTTCTTAAATTCTTACAGTTGGGTAGTAGCACAGCTTTAGTTGACAAAGGAAGAGCATATGGAAATCTTGGTAATTGTTATGATGCTCTTGGAGATTTTGAAGAAGCTGTTAAATGCCATGATCAATATTTGGCAGTTGCATTAAAAGCCCAATCTTTTCGTGATCAAGAAAGAGCTTATCGAGGATTGGGTAATTCACATAGATACTTAGGCAACCTTCAGCAATCATTGGCAAGTATATTTTCTTATTTTATAAATTAATAATTAAAAAACAATGAAATATTATTTAATTATATTCACTTAAATAGCAATAAAAGGAATAAGTTTTAAATATTGCAAAGGCATGGATTTTTCAAATTATAAATTTCTTTATTCAAAAATCTAATGCATACAAATTTTAATAATTGTATATTGTAATAATTTTCACTTATATAAGAATTTTTGACACTTTCTATGTTGTTGTGCTGCAATTTGAAAAAATTGTAGATCTATAAATTCCCACTGCCTGTCGTTCTTTAATCTTGAGAACAGAGTTTGATAGATGAAAGCCAAGACCAGATATGGAAAGATTAGGGACTGGAGGCCCTGATTAACTATATACGAACTTATGATGCAAACTGGAAGTCACATTATTTTAATTTGAAAATTTCTTCCGAAAGGAGTTAGATAGATGATTGACATGACTCTGTTGCTAACAGGAAAAATATGATGCACAGGGGCAAGACACTACTCATTTGAGATGGAGAGCATTGTGTATTGTGTGTTAAAAATTAAAAATCTTCTAATTGCAGCCCAGCATTGTGACAATGTCACAATAAATAATTGTTTATATTATGAAAATATTCAAATTCATTTTATGAAAATTAGATGAATTATTTGGAAATACACACATTTTGGGTATTATTTATGTTAGTGTAAAAATTAGATTCCAATGTCTTTTATACCAGTAAAATTTTCATAAAGATCAAAATTGATATTTTCAATTTTCATAAAAAGCTTTATCTTGAATAATTATTGGAATGTAAAGAAATTTTAAATTCTATCATATATTTAATTTTTTTTCTGGATATTATTATTATTTTGCCATTGTTATTGATAATTTATGGTATTTAATTTTTATTTTTTAGGAGTCAGATAAAACAGATTTCTTAAGAATGGTAAATAGAAACCATTTATTTAATAGCAGCAATTATAGTCTTAGTAGTCTTTTTAGTATTGGAAGTGTTAGCTGTAGTGTAGCAAGTGGATTGACAAGTAGAGCAGGAAGTATTCGTTCAAGACATCATGTATGGCAAGGTCCAGCACCGCTTCATGCACTTTATGATTTATTGATTGCACCTATGGAAGACCATCTTCCTCGAGATTCAGATCCATTAGAGCTTTTATTAGTTCTTGATGGTGATCTTTATTTGGTGCCATTTTCAATGCTGAAAAGTAATGGTTGTGATGAATACATGTGTGAAAGGTTTAGTTTGACTGTGCTACCATCCATAACTGCTCTCAAAACAAGTCAAAAATCTAAACTAACACGTCATCAAAATAATAGAGATCACATCACTTCATTAGTTGTTGGTAACCCAAAATTGCCTATGGCTGTTTCTGATGAATGGGGATGGACTGATATTCCTTCTGCTGAACAAGAAGCGAATCTTGTAGCAGAAATGTTGAATTGCAAAGCAATTAATGGAAATCAAGCTACAAAAGAAGCAGTGCTTAGTCAGTTATCTCAAGCAGAATGCATTCATTTTGCAACTCATGTTTCTTGGAAATTATCAGCTATTGTATTATCACCTGGAGAATTTGTTGAATCATCATCTCAAAGAATGTCACATGGTTCTCAATCAGAAAGTGCTCATGATAGTTTAGAATGTTGCGAAGAACCTGCTTCTGAATTAGCTTCTGCTACTGATTTACCACCTTTATCTGAATTTTTGTTGACTGCGGCTGATATTTTAAATCTTCGTTTATCTGCTCGACTTGTAGTAGTTAGTTCTTGTCATTCTCGGAATCATCATGGCAGAATAAATTCTGATGGGATTATTGGCCTTACAAGAGCACTTTTAGCAGCTGGAGCTCAATCTGTGGTAATTTCTCTTTGGCCTGTTCCAGATACAGCTGTAAAAATATTTTTAAGGACATTTTATTCATCCCTTTTGCAGGTAAATTTTTTCTTTTATTTTAATTAATTTAATGAATTTAGTTAGATAAGGAATTTTTAAAATATGCTTAAATTCTGTTCTTTCTGACTATACAATTTTAATGTATGTATTGTCAGGTTTATAGGTACATAGTTTCAACTAAGAAGTTGGTATATTTTACTCTAACAAAATTGTCATCAATCATTTGTTTTGATTATTAAGATTTAATGAAAAATTAATTACCTATTTGTTTGAATCTAATGTAAATATATATATATATATATGCAAGATTAGCCAGGGCCAAGAGGGCAATCTCTAATGACTACTTAATTGACAATGGGTTGGTAAAACCCAATCTCTATGTCTGTGGATGGCTAAGAAGATCTTTAGTGGTCGAGTGGGGAGGTTACATGTAAGTCTATAGGTGACCGAAAAATGACAGGTAGACAGATTGACAAATACAACAATAAAAGTTTAATCTTCTAAGCTAAATCTAGAGTTACAAGAGTTACAAAATGCATAACTAAATGTTACCCATAGCTGCGTTGCTTCGTGAGGTGCGGTCCTGGTTTCCTATAAACTAATATCGAACACAGAGAGAGAATTTACAAATTTGCTATTTCAAATACCTCTGAGAACGATTCTATGGAGATGCTGTCTTCTGTCTTGGTTGAAGTTGAGTCGTAATCGATGTTGTCTGATGTTTAGGGATGGTGTTTCTTTCTTAGAACGTTTCCTGCGTTTCGGGATCCAATTTCTTATATGATGATTTGAGCCATCATCTTTTATGTCATATGGCGAGGAGGGAACCTTGTGAGGAGTTTGTTCTATATGGTGCGTTTTCTCTCCGTTGTCCTGTATGGGCCAGGGATGTCTGTTTGATGGACATCTGTTGAATATAGCACGATGGGATACTGGTGTCGCTTGCCCCTAGAGAAGATAGAGCTTCTTGCTCTGGGGGACAAACCTGCCTCAAAGTACAGGTGCTGCATCCATATATTCATTTCTGGCCTGGGAAAATGATCAGGTGATCAGGTGTTTAATGATGAATCTGTAGATGTTGGGTCAGAGGTGATCCAGGGAGACAAAGAGGTGTTGAAACGGGACATAGAATGTAATCTTTGGCTCGTGCAACGTTAGATTCATCCTGTTTTTGCTGGTGAATGTTGATGTTCTCATCACTTTAACTGTAAATTGTTATACTTTCTTAGCTGTTGTTGATGAGAAAGATTACATTCAATCATTTTTCTATTTGATGTTTTCTTAACGATTGCAACAGAGAAATAGGTTGACTTAAGATTTTCCCTAAATTTGTGCAAAAACAAGTGCTCGATCTCACATATATATCAGTGTATATTTTGTGCGTGTGTGTGCGCGCGCGCGCGTGTATATATTATTATGAATTATAAACTACAGTATTTTAATAGAAGAAAGCTTTGTTCAATTTTTCTTGATTCTAAAGTATTGAGAAAAATTGAATAATTGAACCAAGGGAATTTACACGACATTGATTGATACAATATATTGTAGTTGATTTAGGCAGTTGCTAAACAAATATTTCTATATAAAAAAGTAAAGTTCTAATTAATTTTAATGGATAACTGATTCTGCAAATCAAGTAAGCAAAAATTTCTTTACTTAATTTGCAGAACTAGTTATCCAGTATAATAAGTCCTAATAATAGATATGTCCTAGTCGCCAATTTATCTTAAAATTATTTAGTTAAGGACACAAAGGAATATAAATTGAAGTAAAGTTATAGTTTTGTTTTTTTCAATTTGGAATAGAATAATATTAAATTAATGCTTAAGTAATTTAGATTGATAATTAATGTTATGAAGATCTGATTATTGTTTTCTCCAAATGTTTCTAAATTTAACTACTGGTAAATAATTGTCAATGAAATATTTTAATACATTTTAAGGTGATAAATAAAGACTTTTCTGAATTTGTTTACTTCATTTGCAGAATCAGTTATCCAGTATAATAAGTCCTAATAATAGATATGTCCTAGTTGATGATTTATCTTAAAATTATTTAGTTAAGGACACAAAGGCATATAAATTGTATTTTAATACATTTATNTCCGTTGTCCTGTATGGGCCAGGGATGTCTGTTTGATGGACATCTGTTGAATATAGCACGATGGGATACTGGTGTCGCTTGCCCCTAGAGAAGATAGAGCTTCTTGCTCTGGGGGACAAACCTGCCTCAAAGTACAGGTGCTGCATCCATATATTCATTTCTGGCCTGGGAAAATGATCAGGTGATCAGGTGTTTAATGATGAATCTGTAGATGTTGGGTCAGAGGTGATCCAGGGAGACAAAGAGGTGTTGAAACGGGACATAGAATGTAATCTTTGGCTCGTGCAACGTTAGATTCATCCTGTTTTTGCTGGTGAATGTTGATGTTCTCATCACTTTAACTGTAAATTGTTATACTTTCTTAGCTGTTGTTGATGAGAAAGATTACATTCAATCATTTTTCTATTTGATGTTTTCTTAACGATTGCAACAGAGAAATAGGTTGACTTAAGATTTTCCCTAAATTTGTGCAAAAACAAGTGCTCGATCTCACATATATATCAGTGTATATTTTGTGCGTGTGTGTGCGCGCGCGCGCGTGTATATATTATTATGAATTATAAACTACAGTATTTTAATAGAAGAAAGCTTTGTTCAATTTTTCTTGATTCTAAAGTATTGAGAAAAATTGAATAATTGAACCAAGGGAATTTACACGACATTGATTGATACAATATATTGTAGTTGATTTAGGCAGTTGCTAAACAAATATTTCTATATAAAAAAGTAAAGTTCTAATTAATTTTAATGGATAACTGATTCTGCAAATCAAGTAAGCAAAAATTTCTTTACTTAATTTGCAGAACTAGTTATCCAGTATAATAAGTCCTAATAATAGATATGTCCTAGTCGCCAATTTATCTTAAAATTATTTAGTTAAGGACACAAAGGAATATAAATTGAAGTAAAGTTATAGTTTTGTTTTTTTCAATTTGGAATAGAATAATATTAAATTAATGCTTAAGTAATTTAGATTGAATATTATTTATAATTTACTCTAATAAAAAGAATCAAAGAAAAAAAAAACAAATAGTGTACAATTAGTTTATATTGAACAGATTATGATTAATAACAAAAATGAAGAAAAAAAATCACTAATTATATTATACAGAAAAAATAATAATAATAATGAAAATAAAATAATATAATTTTTCAAATATCTATTCAAAATTTAGTTTATACATATTTACATAAATGAAAAAATATCCTCTATCTATTATCTAAATAACTCCAAATTTTACCATCAGTTTCTTCATATACTTCTTTGATATCTGGATGTGGTTCTAGAATAATTAGCTTAAAACTGATTTCTATTCTTTGTATCAGATGACAAATTTTCCCTGTAAATTCATGTTAACAAGCATAATTCATGCTTGACAGAGTAGATAGTGTTAAAACTATCCATCTAGATGACAAACAACAACTTTGATAGTTACGATTTTTAAAATTTAGTGATATTATATTAGATTGAATAATCTGAAACCAAAACATTGAATTTATAAAGAATGAAATATTCATTTGCATTTGCATTTTGTTCTTTTTGAATAAAAATTTTGACTGGCTAACATTTAAATTTAGAAATTACAATACAGGTATACCTCGCCTTACGTCGGTAATTGGTTCCAGGAAAACGACGTAAGTCGAATTTACTTGTCTCCGAATCTACTTGTCACTAGGCTAAACCATAAATTACCATTTCCGGTTCTGTATTTTATTTATTAATGCATTTTAATAATATATAATTAATAAGGATATATTTTAAGCTTACAAACAAATAAATTTTAGTTTTTAATATAGTACAGAAAAAAGTAATCTAAATTTACGAATGCATGTACTGTAAATACAATACATACTTGTAAATGTATATATTTTAATATGATTTTATGTTCTTTAAACGCTTTTCTAGTGATATTATGTCTTCAATATTTGTGGTGGACAGACGTAAAGTCGAATAAAATGAATTAAACTTGATTTTTATTTTTCCATATACTTTTTTGACAAACAACGTATAATCAGGAACGACGTAACTCGAAACAACGTAAGTCGAGGTATACCTGTAGACTAAATCAAATGTTGCCAAACAACATTGTATATCAGTTTTGAGCATTTATGAATCTGAGAATCTTTAGTGTTTAAATTTCAAAAAAACTGTTCTAGTATCTTTCATTATGCAAGTTACAGTTTGGATTTTTATACTGTGCTTTTATTTTTTTTCTATTTGATATTTTTTGAGTTCTTGTTTTTCTTATTGTTAAAACACAGGGATTATTTAATGTAAGTATTAGCTTTGTAAAATAAATAAAATTAAATATGATGTTTATAACTTTCATTAATTTAGCATTTCAGTTTCATTTGACTTAAAATAAATTGAAATTAGTGAAAAAAGGAAAGCTTAAAACTAGCCTTTATTGTCAAAGATTTTTAGTTGTATATAAAATGTAAACTTATGTTTAAAAAAAAGAAAAAAAAAATACTAATTTAATGGACTTGTAATAAAATTGTATTATTAACTTTTTTCAATATTAGGGTTCATGGGTAAGCATAGCATTAGCTGATGCAATGCGCACTATCCAGACTACCAAACATTTTGCTCATCCAGCCAATTGGGCAAGTTTTTTATTAATTGGTTGTGATACAAGGCTAAGCAGTCAAGTTGCTCTAATGGGTCAAGCTTTGGCTATATTATTAAAATCTCCAGAAAAATGTCGAGATGCATTACGAGTCATCTTACATTTGGTAAGTTTGTCATTTTTTTAAATATGTGTATAAAAATTTGTCATAAATGAAATTTTTCTAAATTTCCTTTATCCTAAAGACAGTAATATGGTGGATTTTTTTAGTCATATCCATTATGAGTTTGGGACAGAGCCCGATATATCCAGGACACACCATCCCCTGAAAAATTTGAGATTTCCAACCTGAACTCACATTTCCTCAGATCAGTAGACTGATCTGAGGAATCAATTATTAATAACAGCATTATTTCCTAAAGCAGTTTGTCTTAAAGTAATGAATTAACTGTAATTAATTCATTCCAGCAGGAACTGAAAAACTTGCATATAAATTGTATATCATGAGTGCTGAAAAAAAACATTTATTTCTAAACACATGCACATTAAAAAATGTGTCATACTTAAAAAGCAAAAGTTGTTAAAATTTTTGCCAATCTACTTATAGTAACACTTAAGTAATGCTGATAGTAGTTATGTGGTTGAGATATTTTGACTATGAATCTGCATACTTAGATCCATGTAAATTGAAGATTTAATACATAATAATGACAAAACTAAATTTAAAATTATTAACACAGTTAATAATAAACATTGTTGGCTAAATACTGTAGATAAAATTATTTTTCTAAAATAATATAAAAATCAGTTAGGTTTAGACAATTTTAAACATGTTTCTCAGCATTTTATTTATAAACAAGTTCTGTGTTTTAGATTATATGAAAATTTTTGGCATTTTCTCCACAGTTGAAAAAAGATATTTAATACATTAATGATTCATATTGTTTGTATAGAGAAGGAAATGGTAAATTAATTTATTATTATATGAAATAAAATATATTTAAATTTTTAGTTTAGATTATATTTTAAAAATTTTCCAGGTGGAAAAGTCTCTTCAAAGAATACATCGTGGTCATAAAAATGCCATGTACACTACACAAAAAAGCATAGAAAATAAAGTAGGATCTGTTAATGGTTGGAAAGAATTACTTGTTTCAGTAGGATTTCGTTTTGAACCTACATCAAATGGACTTCCTGCTTCAGTGTTTTTTCCACAATCTGATCCTGGAGAAAGATTAACTCAGTGCAGTGCAAGTTTACAAGCTTTACTTGGTAATAAATTTAAATTTGGCAATTAACTAACTAACTATCTTTTAATTTTTATTTAATAATTTCAAAAAATACAAAATTAAACTTGGTTAATGTTTTTAAGAGTTTAATATTAGCATATACAGTATATAATTGTACATTCTTTGCAAAAACTTCTACCTTATGCAAAAATTTTTGACAAATTACATTATTTGAGAAATTTCTTTATTTTTGCTTATTATTTTAATATTCTATTAAACTAATTTAAATAAAATATTTACTTATTCTTAAAGGTAGTCATTGTTTATAATTAACATGATATTTTATGCTAGGTTTATCAAGTGTATCATTAAGTGCTATATCAAAATTGTTATCTAGTCCAGAATATGCTGAAGATATTATTCAATTGGTAAGTTTTCATGTATTTCAATAATTAATATTATCAATTAAAGTGTATTATAAAAAAAAATTATAATTTAAGAAATTCATTTATTTATTTGTAGGAGCATAATTTCCAATACATTAATGAGATAAAGAAATAGTTTAAAATGCAAAATATTCACAAAATTATTTATTTGCAGAAGGAAATTTTTCCTGTTGCAGGGGGAAATACATAATTAGATTAGTAAATTACATATTATTAAATCAGTTAACAAAATAAAAGTAACAAATAGTTGTTTTACAATAGTCTACATATTAGTTTTATTTTGACATATTTTACAATAGAGAGACTAATTACTGTTTGCATTATGCAACAATGTTCAGATTGATCATTACTTCGAATTTACTTAACTAGTTTAGTTTTCCAACATTATTATGCTTTTGGTAAAGTAGTTCTTTATAAAATATACGTCTTTTTTATTCATATTATTTAAGTTGTTTCTATATTCTTGTGATGATTCTCCTTGTAGAATTTAAGTAATGTTGAGGGAATCACGTATTTTTGAGTCTGACATTTTAGAAGTAGATGTTCCATTGAAAGCTCTTCAGATTTTCACTGTAGACAATGATTATTTGATAAGTATTATTAATATAAATAGAGTATCTATTTAAATGTAATTGTGCTACCAGTCTTTTTACATTATATATGGTTGTGAAGAAGGTATATTTAGTATTTCTAAATACCAGGGATGATAGGAACTGTGATTCAGGCTGATTTGATCAGAATTTATAGGTTGGGATATAAAATGCAAAATATTGAAAATTATTGTTTTGATGTACACTTAAATTTTGTTTTCAAATCAGTGGAATATTTTAGAAAATGAATAATTAAATTAATGATTACATACAAAAATTGTTTTATTATAATTTTTTCTACTTCATAAGTAATTGTTTTTAAATATGTTTATATTATAGATACATTTAATTATTATTCTAGATGAAGCAAGTTATGTTGCAGTTTCCAAAGAAAGATCAGGAAGCTGATAGTATTGAATGTCCTGTTAGTGTAAAATTATGGAGTATTCCTGGATGCCACGAACTTCTTGCTTCCTTGGGTAATTTTGTTTTTATTTATTACATACTTTATTTTATGCTATTAAATACACTTAATCTTGATTTAAATTACTTGGTCAGTTCAATTATTCATTTATGTAAACTGTGGTAAGCCTAGTTACAAGGAGGTATTACAATAACATTTATTTCTTAAAGTATTTTTAAATACAATCAAACTTTTCAATACATCACAAATCTGTTATTAAATTTAACATTTTCTAAATATGTAAGAATGTCATATATAGTTAGTCATACAATTTTAAAATAAAAATAGAGCTTGCTTGGAAAATTAATTGATATAATCCTTCCTTTAAGTTACAGTCTTTGAGAAAGGATAAGTCACTATCCTTCCTGTCTAATGGACTAAAGTACTCTACAACTTTTCATTTACTTTGTGAATGCAATTGACTCTTAGAACAATCTCTACACTTGTCATTTGTAATCTGGAAAAAATTTGAATCAATTATCATATAAAAATTGTTTAGTCTTGAAAAGGTATTTTTGAATAAATATAGTGGTTTGAAGGCAGAAAAGTTATAAAAACCAAAATTTCATAGCGGGTATTCAAGTAATCTTAGTTGATTGACCAAATTTCCAATGTCCAATACTTAATCTTGTTCAAAATCATTAAACAGAGCATAGGAAATCCTATAGTTGGCTAGCTTTACCTAAAGAATTAAAGTGAAAATAAATATAAATTCAGTAAGTTTTGCAGTAATCTGAAATTTTATATACCCATCTGAGTCTAGCTCTGTCAAAATTATAGCTGTGGTTTGGTGGCATTACATAGCAGACAATCAGAGTGTTTTAGAATTTGTAGGATGCTGGGGTTGTAAAAAAAACTTTGAACACATTGAGTCTCAACATACCTGCAGTTTAGAAGTTTTTGACTGCATTACATGGTTATGTCTGACAATCAGTTATACTGACTGAGTTTAGGGAAGCAGGATGGCTATTTTCCATCTGGGTAGCAAGATGGTGATGCTGGGATACACATATGGCAGGCAGGCAGGCAGGCATGATCCAGACAGATGATCAGGATCATGCCTGGAGAGATGATCATATATGATCATGTGAAGCATAAGCAGCTGCAACAGCATTTTTGCCTTCCATCCAGAGACAGTTAGAAAGAACCTTGTCTTTTCATGTACTATTGGCAGATGAGACTAGTAGAGAGCAACCCATTATGCATCTTGCAATTAGCACCTCAATATTTGCCAGCTTCATTTGTAGTGATGCCATAACAAAGCAGCATAGGCTGCTACAGATTGGTGGTGCTGCAGTGACTATTGCTGCCAAACATAATCATTTGTGGTCCCCACACAAATCTCGGTTGTTTTAATTCTGCCTTTACTATTGAGTGGCCTGCTGGTATGGGATGCCATCTTCTATAAAACAGTTAGTTACACTTATAAAGAACATCAATGACACATATCAGTAATAAGAATGCAAAATTTTCTTAATGCACTGATGTGTTGTCTTTTATAGCAGGGCTACAAACAGCCAATGCTCAAGATAATGTTCATTGTACAGCTAGGGTTTCCTAGGAATGTCTGCCATGTTGCCACATTTCCTTGGCTTAATCGGTGATAAATCTGGAGACCAGACAGAATGCCAGCTGCAATTACATCATTTGTGGCACATCATAGGATAGTTTATTTTGCCTCTACTTTCTTGTCCAATTGTATTGCTGCACGTATTTCAGGTAACAATAGGTTCTGCAAGACACTAAAAGGTTTTTGGGCTGCAATTTGAAAAAAGTTGTAGATCTGTTGTCCATCCATCCATCTTCAAAATTAAGGAAAGACAGATAGACAGAGTTAATAGAAGATAAGATCAGATATGGAAAGATTAGGGACAGGAGGCCCCATTTAACTATATACGAACTTCTGATGCAAACCGGAAGTCAGGTTATTTCAATTCAAAACTTTTCTCCTGAAAGGGGTTAGGTAGATGACTGGCATGGGCCCTATTGTTAAAGGAAAAGTATGATGTACAGGTTTTGATTTTGTGATCCCATCTCCAAATTCTAAACCATATTTTCATTTTTATATAATAATTGAAGACAATATTTCTTAGGATTCTGAACTGCACCAGCTTTACATCAATAAAGAATGTCTATTCAGACTATCTAATTTTTAAAATTCCCAGTTAAAATACAAATAATAATCTCCCAAAATGTATAATACAAAAAAGTAAATACAAAAACATCTCACTTATATCATTGCTCATTAAATTCCCCCTGGCAATTGATGTCATAAATTGTATGAATAAAAGTAGTTCTAATTTTCTAATCACAATGAATCCAAGATTATTTATTCCAGAATATAAATTATTTGAATAGGGAATATGTAGGTAATTTAGGCTCTCACATATAGACAGGAATACTAATTTACAGTGGTCTAATGTTTTATTATTGCTATTAATTGACTGACAGAAAACAAAAAAAGTTGATCTTTAACATTTGTTCACATCATAACTTTTCAGTCCTTTTAATGGATTCATTAATATATATTAATTTAATGTGAAATATTTTTTAAAATAGGTTTTGACTTAATGGAAGTTGGAAAAGATGAAGTTACTCTAAGAATGGGAAAGCAGGCTAATCGTCGCACAATTCAGTTCTCACTTCAAGCTTTACTGGCTGTTTTTGGTAAGATAAAAATAATTTTTATTTGAATTAAAACATTAAGAATATAGAACAAAGTCAGTTTTTTACATCTAAAAGCAAAAATTAGTAATAATTAAATGTTACAGTGCATACAGGTGTAGAATTGTGCGCCAGTGTAATTTTTAAAAACTTAATTATTTAGAGTAGATCGACAAAATTTTATTTAAACATTGCATAATTAATGTTTGGCTCAAGTCATTAGAAGACAAAAATATAATTTTGCACCATCTTGAAATGGCTGTGTCACCTTCTATTTAATCACTGTATTGCAAATGAAAAAGTATACATTTATCGATTTTCTGTGTTTTGAAATAATTGCAAACATACATTTTAGCATTGAAATAATTAAATTTTGTAGTCCTAACACTGATTTCTGCCTCTCTTATGATGGCTAATTTCAACTCTCCAACTGTTTAGAACTGTCTTCCATTTGATGCACCATAGATTTTTCATGGGGCTCTCCTGACCCAAACCCCATGAAAATCTATTACTGTTAGTCTAAATAGTAAATTATACTGTTGCTGTTTGATGCAAACCACTATTTACTTTAAACATCAATTATAGCAGTATATGGGCACATTATCATCATAGTTTCCATTTTGCTCTTCCAAGATACAGGGTGGGGCATAAGTAATGCCCTTTAGAAATTTTAAATTTTATTGAACAAAAATTACATAAATTGTTGTATTTTTTGTTCTTATATTTAATATTAATGGACATGCTCAAAATGTTCCCCTTCATATTCAGTACAATGCGGAATTCTACTAGCAACACTTCTACAAACTTTTTGACACACTTCCATGGTAATTACAGAAAATTTCTCTGCAATTACTTGTTTTAATTCAGGAATTGTTTTTGGTTTGAGGCTGTAAATCTGATCCTTTACTGGACTTTTTTTGTGTGGTATATTGGTGTTAGGTCTGGTGATCATGATGGCCATTCAGTAGGTCCATTGTCGTCCTATCCATCTCTCCTCAAAATTTTGATTTAACCATTCCCGAACATTTAAAGAAAAGATATATAAAGTTTCATCCACTTACTGAGTTTCATCCACTGATTTTCCAAGCTTCCCCAAATCATCTCCTCTCCTTAGAATCTCTCTCTCCTTTTCTGATGTTGTGGCAATAGTGTTGATTCTCATCCGGGGCCATCCAAGTTGAATGATTTCTCATCATTCAGCTGTCCAACTCATCTTTGCTCATTCTACTCTGAAAGATTTGGTATTTTATGGTAGACAGGATGGGGCATCTTTTTTGATGAACTAAGCAATCTTCCAATAGTCCATTTCAAAGCAGAATTTGGTTTGCAGTAATTTCTATTACTAGCAGCTTGTCAAGGCTTGAAGGTAAGGATGAACTTCCACTTCATTTCTTACTGAAATAACTGTCTGGATTATTGTTGTATTTTGTAAATGACATCTGCCATCACTTGATGCTCAAGTCAATAAATGAAATATCTCTAGTCATTTGACCATCAATTCAATCAGCACCTTTTGTTGAGGCATAGTTAAAAAGCAAAGTTTCAGCTGCAACTTACACTTATAGCACATTTTTAAGTAAAGAAAAATGCAGTATCCACTTACCTTCAGTATTATTGTCTATATATACACTGGTGTGCAAAACTTAAGGACGAGATATATAATGTAACAGAACTTATGAACAACTCAGTGGAAATGAATGAAAGCGCAGGAGCATCTTGCCAGAGGTCTCTCAGTTGTGCACAGAAAGCTTGACGTCAGGTCAGTGTGACTATAGCACCAAATGTGGCTGGCCACACAACACGAGGCACTTGAAGAAATGGTAAAAGACAGTGTGTGTCAATCAGTGAGCAGTTACAGTGCACTGGTAGTGTTCTTCATTACAACATGGCCCAGAGACAACATTTGGATGACTTCATACGGGGAAGAATCATTGGGAGACTGGAAGAAGGACGAAGTGTGATGAGTGTAGCCCAGGAGTTTGATATTGCTCACAGCATTGTTTCATGTGCATGGAGAGCATTCCAAACCACAGGCACTGCTGCCTGAAGGAGAGAAGGTGGTCAGCAACAATCAACTATAGTAGCAGATGACCACTACATTGAGTCCCTTATTGTCTGTTGCACAATCAGTGGGTGCAATTGCAACCACATTTAACAGGACTGCAAAGCACGCAATCTCACGCTCCACAGTGGCACGGCGACTGCATAGGGGTGGTCTCTTTGTCCGACGACCAGTACATTGCGTTCCAGCACATCGGTGGCACCGTTTGCGATGGTGCCAAGAGCATAGGAACTGGATCAATGAGAAGTGGGGTTGCATGCTCTTCTCAGATGAGAGCAGGTTCAGTCTGAGTAGTGATTCTGGATGTACCCTCATATGGCGAGAGGTGGGAACACATAATGCACCCAGGAACATTGTTGAAGATGATCGTTATGGTGTGGGGAGGCATAATGTTGCATAGGCATACTGACCTACAAATCTACTACTACTACTACTACAGTCGATCCCCCTATAATTACGGTCCCTATAAAACTACGAAAAAATTAAGTATTTTGGAAATGTTGAGTCGGATTAGTATAGAATCAATTAATTTTATGGAAGAAAACCTTTCAATCAGCCATAATCCGTAAATTTGACACGTGTCGGGCTGTGATTGGAACAACTTATAAGAAATCGGATTCCTAATAAATTGGAACGTATCTATATCTTATAGGGGGGTCGACTGTACTACTACATTTGAACAAATTTTTCGAAAATGTAAAGATAATAAATTGGTACAGTAAGACCCTACTTAATGTTGATTTAATATAACACAATCTGCTCAAAATTTATACTGATTTAAATTATCGTGGCATTTCATTGATTCATATATACCGTATTTTGACAAGTATAAGTCGCATTCTTGTTACTACTTTTTGGGGCTCAAAATCATGGTGCATCTTATACTCAACGGGTAACCATTTTTACAGTGAAATTATCTACAGTAGTGGTCCACTGTAGGGACCAACCTGTGCAGTGATCCGTTAAGCAGATGGTCCCTCAACCGAATGGCTAGAGTACCCAGATTATCAGTAGCGACACACGAGTCATCGCCACCATGTTCTGTCGACTGTCATCAGATGACCTCTGAGTTGACATTAAGAAATGATATTATTTCAGTTTAATAAAGGTATCAATTCATCCGTCCATCATATTCTTGAATAAAAAATGAATAAAATGCATCTTTAGACAATCCCATTAAAAAAGTTTTTTCTAGATTTTTTGTCTCAAAATAGGGGTGCGTCTTATACTCGTCAAAATACGGTAATATGATTATTTGCAAACACAAACCAATTAGCAAAAGGTGGCAAAAAGGTGTACTTTCTTTAAATCTATGTTTGGTGCAATTTTGGAAAAAATATATCATCATGGATTCCATAGGAAATATCGACTTTGCGTGGCAAGAATTAACTGATAAATGCACAAATGGAGTGTGGAAGAAGTTATGGCTGAAGGCATCCAAGGATTCTCGACAAGAAGAGCCTATCACTGTATTGTTAGGTTGACCAAATTCAACCTAATCAATATAGCAGGATATTGAGGAGTTACAGCAGGTTTCTGATGAGAGCCTTACCAATGGCAACCTTCAAGAACTGGCATAACATGGAATTCATGTGGAACTGGAAAATAGAGATTCTGAAAACGAAGAACTCAAAAAATTTCTCTACCGATTTCCTTAGTTAAAGTTTGGTAAGATAACTGAAATAATTGATCAAATTGTAGTGAATGATCCAGATTTTGAAAGCAGTGCAAAAGCAAAATGAATGTAAAGCAAATGTCGGTAGCAGAAGATTGCATTTTGGATGCAATCTTCTGCTACTAACATCTGCTGAAGGAAAGAAAAAAGTGATGAGAATTTCAGAAAAGTTGTGAAGTTTCATTTGTTTTTTGCAATAAAGTCAGGACCTTCATCACAAAAAACGAATGTTTTAATTATGTTAAATAACTTAAAATTAATTTGTATAATAGTTATTTTTATATTAAAGTAAAATTTGTTTATTTTTGGTTGCATGTTCACCTATCCCTATTTACTCTATGTTAAAATAACCTCACTTAGCACTTTGTTGTCTAGGAATGATCCCCTGCATTAAGTGGGGTCTTGCTGTATATAGTTTTGCTATATAAAATGTTTTGATAAATCTCAGAAAAGGGGAAAATAAAGGCTGGCAAGGGCTCTTGCTCAACTTTGCCTTCATTTCAGCAGGAGATAACAAGCTTTTCTTCTTAATTTTCAGTTATACCACAGTAAGAAAACTATCAAATTTAAGAGGAGTAATTTTGTTGAGTTAGTGTTTAAATAAATTTTCTCATAAGACATATTAGCACAAAGTTAAAATTGTGTGTGGCACCATCTGTTAAAAAAATAAGGTTTAGTTTTGATGATAGAGATGATTTTTAAAAAAAATTGTAAATGAAAATCTTGCTGTTAGTGGTATTGTGACTTTCAGTTATCAAAATTTAATGGTAGTATCAATGCTCGTTATATAGGATTAACCAAGTTTCAAAATTTTTGGTTCATCCAGTCCTAAGATATAAAATTGTGTGTGTATTTTGCATTATAAAAGAATAATTTTTGGACCAAGTGTCCAAAAAAACAGAGGGACAAAATCTGTCCATATTAAAATAAGAGGAAAAGTATGGTAAACTTCCAACTATTATAGAATATAATAGTGTGACTTTCTGGCATTGTTAATTTATCATTACATTTTTTTATAATTGGCCTATTTAATTGCTATATTACTTTTTATATTTTTTAGATACACAAGAAGCTCCTAAAACTCTAAGTTTTGAAGATTCCAGTTCACTAGAAAGCTTGGACAGTGATTCCAGAGCTACGTCACCACCTCCACCAACCCCTACTCTTGCATATCCTCTTAGACGGAGACCCGTTCTTGGAAGTCTGGCAATAGGTAGAGGAACAGGAGCCTTTACTACTTATGCTCGAACACGTGGAGAACCAGACGGCAGAACAGCCACGATGGGAAGTGACCAGAAAGGACGCGACAGTGACACGTTTACTCCGAGTCCCGTAGATCCAATATCAAAACCTTACCTTGCACAAAATCAGAAGACCTCTCCTCAGCCGAGTCCAAGATTAGCTCTTGCCTTATCTCATCAAAATAAAATAAGGTCCATGTACAGTAGTGACAGTCCAACTAGTGACAATAACACAAAGCGCCCTGGCAGCTCGTCATCTGCCAGTTCGACGACAGATTGGGACAGCGGACAGTGCACAGTACGTCGACAGAATGCAAATCGTGATTGCGATTCCAATGCATCTATTGAAAATTCAAACATGAAATGTTTTCCTGGAAAGAAAATATGTAATATTTTATCTACAGAAAGAGATTTACAAGTAATGCCTGAACATATTTGTGGAGTGTTAGGAAATAATTCTAGAATAAAAAATAATTTATCTCAACCAAGTTCTGGATTTGAATCTCAAAGTAGCGATAGTTCGGATCGTAATGATTTCATGTCTCTCAATTCAAAATATGGTTCATCTATTGCATCATTAAAAAATGTTTTTGCTTCAAGACAGTCCCAATCTTTATCAAAATTTTCTTTATGCACTGAAGAAATAGTTAACTGTATGGAAAGACTTGGTTACAAAAGTGAATCTGGAAAATTTCAGAATCAGAAAGGAAATAATAAATATTGTAAAAATGATAATTTCAATAATATTACAGAAACAAGAGTACAGATTCATAATGTAGAAACTAACAAGTGCTTAAAACCATCAGATCCACAATCAGTTGGAATTGATAGTTCGTTACCGTGTTTATCAAGTGACAATTTCACTTCGAGTGATATTCGCATTCCTCCTCCAGCAACGAATCTACAAGATAACATGTATACAATTCATACAATAAACGATACTTTAAATACACACAACGATCAAATGGGAAACTGCAGTATATTAAATACTCAGCTAAGACACCTTAGCCAAGAGCCACCCATATCAGATTTTTATCACGACCGAAATTTGGGACTTGGTTTGGCTCCATCTCTTTCTAAAATTCTTTCATCCGATGGATCTCAGGGTATCGATCATCAGGAAAGAGAATACCACCATGCAGATATTCACCTAGCTTCTATGCCAAAAATTAAATCTACCATTCCTCCAAAACATTCAAGACATCATTCCAGGATACACAACATTTTAATTCCATGCACTAATGATGATACTTTCCATCACTATATGGAACAAAAAGATAATTTAGAAAATCCAGATTGCCCTTTAGCATCGTGCAGCGTCAGAGACGACGGAGACGGAGGATCATTCACCGAAATTTCATGTTCGAGCCAGACAGATTCTGCCACCAGAGACCTATTTGCAACATTTTTCAACAGCGTTGCAAACGAACAAAAGGAATCATTTCGTGTCGAACAACTAAGTAATTTAAGTAAAGAATTTCTACTAGAAGAAAATATTCTTAACAGCAAAGATGAAACCATCAAATCTAGAGAAATTGGTTCTTTAGAAAGTTCAAATTTTTCTAGTTATTCTTCGTACAATCCCGCCTATCAGCATAAATTAAATTCGAGCGACCACACGCAAAAAGACGACGAAGCGGATTCCATCTTGGGAAGTTCAAATGCAGACTTTCCTCCCGATCTGATCGTGTCAGACTTAGAAGGTAGCGACACAGAACAGATGGAAAATATTTCCACCGTCAAACGAAATCTAAAGCATTTAAATTTAAATAATGCCAGAGGAAAAATCGAGAAGTCAATAAGTATGAAACCTCCGATGCAGTCGTCGACGTGTTAAATTTTCCTGCATAACTAGAAATGCAATTTTAACATGCCAAAATGAATTCGATTGCTTGATGTTAGCATTTAGAAATGTAAAAATATTTTGTACAGACTACTCTTGTTATTGTATAAAATTATTTTTGTACAATATGTATTTAAAAAATGTATTTTATTGAATCTCAACATTAAGCATGCCTCTCGATTTTAATACAGAATATTTTTGATATTTTTATTTACATTAATACTGTACAGTATTTGAAAAATAAATTAATTAATCCTTTATAAAAACAACGTGATAGAATTTTTACAACAAACCAAAGTGCGTATGTTAGTATTCGTTATATCTTAACTATTGCCGCTCTGCGTTTTTTGCAAGTATTCCTTTAAACGAGTTGGATAGTCTGTCATGACACCCGTGACTCCCAGTTTGAAAGCATTTTGGAAATCCTCATCTTCGTTGATAACCCACAGATAGGTCTGTAAAGACATAAAATTTAAGCATTTTTAATAGCTCCAAAATGCTAAACTTTTGATACTTTGATTTAATTCTTATATACTTTTGTTACTTTAAAGAAACATTTCCGATTTTCACTTAAAGTATAAAATTTTAATAACATGAAAAGTGCAGCACATTTTATTGTTTATAGCTACAACTTTAAACTTGGAAGCAATAATTAGTCTACATGTTTAGAAACAACCTCTCGCACAACTCCTGAAAGATAAATCAACACAAAAAAACCTTTTTAATATCCCAGTATTAACAAATTTAAACAAAACGAACGTTTTTGAAAACTTGGTCTTCATCGGGCTAATGGCCAGTATAAAATTCGAAACCAGAAATTCGAACACGGGGTTTATAAATTATTTTTAATTCCAAACTATTTAAATCTTGAAAACGTTTTTTACCTTACATGTTAATAAAGTGATAAAAATATCTTTTCACACACATAATAAGTTGCAAATACTGGTGTAGAAATGTATCTATTAGCTAGTGTTATTCCCGTTACTTTTTTCATAGCACCACCTCCATGCATACCAAATACTAGTGGCATCCTTTGCATTAATGCAGTTGCCAGGCGAATCTGCTTTTTATATTTCTAACGCTTCCAGGTTGCAAAGGTGTTGAACTCGATCAGACATTTTTACCAATTTAGCTTTACGGAGGTCGGCTTGTATTTCGGGATCAGTAGCATAGGCCGCTAGGACTGTGGTATGTCTCTGGTTGGCGATATCATACCCGTGTTCTTGTAACCTTTTGTTTAAAGAACGCTTCGTGGATCCGACGTAAACTAGATCTCGCTGGAATCTGTGCTCCCAGAGAGGAACCATATATTAATAGATGCCCGACTTTCATCTGTCTTGTCCTTGTCATTGCGTAACAGCCCAGATACCGTGTTAGATCTCTTATATGCAATCTTTGTGTCTTTATGCATAGCAATTTCTATATATTTCAGGGGACTTGTGCGAATTTGTCATTCAACAACTGGAGCAAAAGATCATACCTCTATTCCTACCTAACATCCTACTTTATAAAAAAGGTACAGTGGTACCTCAGGATACGAAATTAATCCGTTCCGAAACTGAGATTGTATCATGAAAATGTCGTATGGTGAATCATTTTTCGCCATACGATTACATGTAAAACCAAATAATTCGTTCCAACACAAAACACACTCAAATTAAAGCTAAGTAGTACATTGAAAAAAAAAAAAAACTATAGTAAGGAAAACACTGAAAAATGCATTTTGTAGTTGTAAATGTATAAATAGCCATAATAGAATAATAATTGATAAAAAAAAATTAGTTTTATTTGCACTTTACACCTTTGAGGATAGACGACGGTAGCGGTGTAAACGGGTGGCGGAAGAGAAGGAGAAGGGAAATGATACTAAAACTTAACTTACAGAATATAATTTAACAATAACTTAAAAAAATTAGTGTTGTTTTAGTTAGTTTATCCATTTCATATATTTTTTAATTTTTATTTACTGCTTTTTGCTTTCTTTCCTTCACTTCCACCAGCACTTTCACTGGATAAAGGTGGCTTGGTAAAATATCTATCCAAAGAGGTTTGGCTTTGCCTACTTTTTAGGCAAATGTCATTACTCCAAGCAGCAATACGGCCAGTGTGAACCTTTTTTGGGATGTTTCTTTTCAATAAAATCGGTCACTTTCTGATAATACCTGGAGATTTCATTTATCAAGCGAGATCCTTCCATGACGAAGCAAACACGCGGACAGAGACCAATGAACAGAAGTGAATAAAAAATGGCGCTGCTAACTAATGTAACATCGTATGGTGAGTTTTTGTTCGTATCGTGGAGCAAAAAATATGTTCGAATTTCGTGTCGTATCCTGAAAATTTTGTATTCTGAGGCATTCGTATCCTGAGGTACCACTGTATGTGGAGGACATTGTCATTCTTTAGAAGGCTGAGCCCAACATAAATGATTTCATAAACCCAATGAACAATACTTACTGTCAGGATGGAGCAGAAGAGTGACACACATGTGCATTTCCTGGATGTCAACATTTGCCTTGACGCATGCGGAGTGCAAACCAGCGTATATTATAAACCTAGCTACGTACCAATATTTATTCTGTCGAACTCTGTGGACCCTTTTTCTTACAAGATCTCTGTGTTTCAAGCCCTAACTAGAAGGGCTTACACCCTCCATACTAGATGGGATGATACTGTGGTTGAATTAAGGCGCATTGAAAACATAGCAGTAAAGCATGGATACAGTAGAAGCGTGATACGTAATTTATCGAGCAAATACGCCAACTTGTTAAGGGCTGACCACACTCATACATCAAAGGTAAAGCCTTATAACACACATAATAACAACAGAAACCAATCACACACTGGTGCAATACAGCCAGCACCTAAGATGCATTTGTAAAGAAATTACTACGCATAAAGACACAAAGATCGCATATAAGAGATCTAACACGGTATATGGGCTGTTACGCAACGGCAAGGACAAGACAGATAAAAGTCGGGCACCAGGCATCTACATGGTTCCTCTCGGGGACCACAGATTCCAGCGAGATCTAGTTTACGTCAGATCCACGAAGCGCTCTTTAAACAAAAGGTTACAAGAACACGGGTATGATATCGCCAACCAGAGACACCACCGTCCTAGCGGCCTATGCTACTGATCCCGAAATACAAGCCGACCTCCATAAGGCTAAATTGGTAAAAATGTCTGATCGAGTTCAACACCTTTGCAACCTGGAAGCGTTAGAAATATAAAAAGCAGATTCGCCTGGCAACTGCATTAATGCAAAGGATACCACTAGTATTTGGTATGCATGGAGGTGGTGCTATGAAAAAAAGTAACAGGAATAACACTAGCTAGTAGATAACGTTTCTACACCAGTATTTGCAACTTATTATTTGTGTGTGTGAACGTAAAGATATTTTTATCACTTTATTAACACGTAAGGTAAAAAACGCTTTTCAAGATTTAAATAGTTTGGAATTTAAAAATAATTTATAAACACCGTGTTTGAATTTCCGGTTTTGAATTTTATACCGGCCATTAGCCTGACAAAGACCAAGTTTATGGTCGAAAACATTCGTTTTGTTTAAATTTGTTCATACTGGGATATTAAAAAGGTTTTTTTGTGTTGTTTACACATTTAGAATAATAATCCAGAAGTAGATCGAAATGTTATTCTTTAAATTATAGTAACCCATAAAACTTCATTTGTACTAAAAGAAGAAAAATTCTTGATATGTTAGTTGACAATTTTTTTGAATCAGAACCAATCATTCGTGAATTAAAGAATTTGGAAACTAATTATTGCAAATATGAGTAATGCACGCATGCGCACAACCCTACCCATTAAATGAGTTCTTTCTGTCTAGATCTTGAATTTTCAGAATTACTAGCATACAAGATCAAACTAACTGTTAATAAAACAAACCTAGGTTTACATAGATATTGAAGAACACTCCTGGATAGTTACATTTTGTTAAAAAATTTTTTATGTATCAAGATTTAAAATAAAACAAAATAGATATTTTGGTTAAAACTTTTGACACAAGTTTTATAATGTCTATATTATCCTATAATCAGAGTTTCATATAATTATATAGTAGTAGTAAGTTAAAAAAAACTTACTTGTATTCCTCTCTTTTCTAAATGTTCAAATAGTTCTTTTCTCATCAATAATCTGCAATAAAAAAAGTTTAATTTTACTAAACACTAATATTAATCAATTAAAGAAATTTAACTGTAAGCAAAAACAATAAGCTTTATACAAAATCAGTTAAGTGTTTTCCTGTTACTTCTGCATTAAAAAAAAGCCTGCAGTGTTTACATAAATAATGACGACATAGAATTTAAATTGTAAAAAACTCCCAATAAATATAACAAAAGCAAAATCCATAAAATGTGGTATAACAATATACAATACACAGAAGACAGTTCTATTTGTAACACTGAAGTTTATGCAAAATAAAAAATGCATATAAAGTTTCGTTAAAATTACGAAAAACAACAACCAATGAAATTATATAGACATAAAATAAGAATGAACTACATAAACTATTGGCAGTGTTATAAAGGAATTTAGAAAATCGGTAATCCAGAAACACTCCCAACATACTGGGTTGGACAAAATTGAATGCTTGCATAAAAGTAGCCACACATTGTTGGTATTTGCTGGAACCTATTATGATTTTTCCTTTTGAGTATCGCAACACATTATGTTGAACTTTTGATTAATCAACATCCCATGGTGAGTTTTGCTTCCAACCAGAGAGGTAGTGCTCCAAGACAATGCAAACTTACACTACTGAATATCCTAATGTTTACGAACCACAACTGGGCACAGTTGGACGTCTTCCTTGCCCTCCACCGATCACCTGATCTTAATCATCAAACTATTGTGAATCTTGGAGGCCAAAAGTGCACAGCAAATCACTTTTGGAACTTGAATGAGTCCATTCTTCACGAAGAAAAGAAATTTCTCCAGACATTATCCAAAATCTATATTTTACGTCGGGTAAACACAAGACCTCTAGTGACATCAAGCCGAATGTTTTGAGTGTTCACATTGTTTTGTTCAACCCTGTAGTAGCATCAATTTGTGGAAAAAGAAGTAAATTCATTATCGAAAACTACAGATCTAAAATTATCATCATAAAATTTTTAGAAATGCTATTATTATCTACAGATTATAAAGATTATGTTTAGTAATAAATTGTTTATTTCACTTGCAAACACAGAATTCAAAACAAGTACTTAAAGATTACAACTATTCTCAAGTTTGTTTATAAGGAACGTTCAGAAGAAAGAACTTTTGTGTAATAGTATGAGGAGTTTGTCAATGCCCAGAGTCAATGGAACAACAAACATGATGTTCACAGTGTCATTGAGTCTCGCTACTGGTAGATTCTTCACAAGTTCTAATCTTAATTAATTAAGATTAGAACTTGTGACAAAGATAAATGCAACAGTACACCAAAAGCTATAAAATAACTCTGGTTTATGTAGCAATTCTATTTTGTGGATGGTGCAATATTATATTTAATTTTGACCTCAAATTTTCTAACTCATCTGGCTTTAAAATACTACATGATGTTCCACAAGTAAAAAAAAAACTAGTTATTTCAAGCATGTATTTTACCTATGGATCATTTGTGAAATAATGTGGGGATAAACAGACTATAATTCATAAAATACAAATCCAACTAAACTATTATATTTCTCCCAAACACCATATTTATGGAAGATTGTGATCTAATGATGCCAAGTTGTGGGAGTTAGACATTAATTTTATGACAAATATCTTCCATGTAAGTTTAACGTAGCTTTGTTTTCTTTTTGTCTAAGTCTCCTGCTAAAATTATGGAAATAGTATAACGATCTTGTGCCGTAACTGTAAAGAGTTCGTTAAATTTATGAGAATAAATACCCGAACGACTAAACAAATGAATAGGTGTTGTTAGATCAGCGCACAAATGTTTTTATATGACTAATTTATAAACCGTGTGTCCTACAGAAATGTAAAATGGCAGATTTTGAAAGCTCGTGGACAGTAACAGTTTATATGCAACATCTCTAAATCTATCTCACAGTTTTGGAAAGGCAAGCAGTTTAACATCTTCGTTGTGTCGAAACTCATAACCTAAAAGGTTATAAACAAAGTATTTATACAACTGTATCAATAGGAATAAAATAAATTACAAATTCGGAAAGTTTATTAAATGTACTTTATTTTACATAACTCGTAGGGTTTATTATTCTACCATTTTTAGGTCCCACGTTAAGCATTAGAGTGGAGTTACTTTGTGACGAAACTTCCGACACAGTCTTTCTAGTGTATCTTTCCAATTAGATGTATTTACAATAAAAAAAAAATTTAAAAAAGTAAATTTTAGAGGATAAAATAGAATTGTGCTGTAATGGAACAGATGTGCCACCATTATCATCATCTGGAATAGGAATCATTTTCATACCAAACAATTGTAAACACAAAAGTAATTAAGAAGATATTTTAATAAATATATAACAGCTATCAAACTGTATGCAGATTACAACAAACTTTTAAATCAAACTGTACTGTATTTGAAATCTTCGAATAAATCTTCAAAGTGAGAGAAATAGTGGCATCACTGTTGGTATGTTGGAGTGCAAAGATACTTGCGATTGCAGGATATAGATTGCGTGATAGAACTGGTCAGAATTTCATTTGTGTGTCACAATGTAGATTTCCAATCACAATCTAGCGTACTTTTTGATGGGCACATTTATGTTAAAAAAATTGGTAACAGGAATAGCTAGAACAATGTAATTATACAGTAATAAGCTTTAAAAAGGAACTGTGTTGTAACATACATTCTCTGTTGTAGTGTGCGGGTGTAAACAATATTAAGATGGAGCAAGGTTGGACAGGTCCACCCTAAAATCTCCTCCTCCATTCTGAAATAATTTATTTAAGTCTACTTTGGTAAATCATTTCGTAATTAAGGAAACCTTCCAAGTAAATTGCAAATTCTTACTAAACTTTTTCCATTTATAACAATGTTCTGCCCAACCTCTTCTCTCAATGAAAATCCTAGTGCTGTTACTACCGCACCAGAGTTTTCTGTTTTGTCATCGTTCATTTGGTACCACAAAAACTGAATGACAAAAACAAGGTACCGCTGTCTAAAGCATATTCTTAAAAGGTATTTTTACATGTTGCTTTGAAATTGGCTCAGTAAAATAAAAAAAAAAAAACTTACTTTTCCATTAGCCATAGAAACCAATCTAATTTCTGTCGACTCTTAAAAGAGGATACAAGATTTGGATTTCTGTAACGAAAACAAAATGAAAAACAATTTAATTTACTGCTAATTAATGCAGTTAAAATTTATTAATTGTAAATATATTTAGTTGTTTAAAGTAATTTACCTGTAAACAACTCTAGGCAGCAATATTTCTAAACATGATTCTTTCAGTGGAACAAATGGCAAAAGTCCAACATAGGTTAAAAAAAGAAGATAGCAGACACGTTTCGCAGAAAACAACAATGGAATATTTGGATTCTGTATGAAAATTTAAGATTATAAAAATATATTTTAATTGTTTTAAATTAGTTTAGTATAGAATTTTATTGTTATATTCTACAAGTTAGAAATTATGTGAGGTTCCAGACAGAAGTTGACTTAGAGGTCCGAATGGGGACTATCAAATCGAGAAATTAAAAATCTCCTTTTACAACAACTCGAAAGGAAGAAATTAAAGATCTCGATTAAACAATGAAAGTTTTTTTTTTGTAAATTATTTAAACAATAGAAAAGACTAAAGAAGTTGAGGGAAACATGGCTGGAGAGGAGTCATATTTAGTGGCGAAACTGACTTCTCCTGTGCCCGCCAATCAGTTTCAAATTGTCACCAGATGATGAGTAAAGACCAATGAAAAGGTGGCTTTAAGGGAAAAACTTATAAAACCGCGCATTTCAAGGATGGGACATTCTTGGTTCATAGTGCTCCTCTCATGGACTTTGTACTCTTGTCCAACAACAAAAGCTTGTTCGACGTCACGGGATTCATTTTGGCTATCCCATCTCGTCAAGATTCGCCCAGGTACACCTAGTCATTGGAGGTCATCTCTGCAAGTTGTGCTGTGCACCCCGGGGCCATCACTCTCCACATCACCTTTGCCAGAAGAAAAGAAACGATCGTCGTAAAATTTGGACTTTTGAACGGTCTTGTTGTCCACCTTGTGATAGGCATTACGCCTCATTATCAGAATAGTTTAATATATATATAAATAAATTTTCTTAAAACAGTTTTAAATGGAAAACCTGCCTCAGTGAGTCTTTCCACTCCCACACAATAGTGTTGACCGTCGATTGTCATGACAATTTCCACCCAATCAGCTAACCTCACAATTAGAAAACAAAGTTTTTTTTAAATACTTCAATAAAATCAAAATGCCCAGAAACAATAGAAGCTCCATTTCATATATTTATGATTTTGTTTGTTTGTTTTTTCGTAATTACTGGTGTAATTATCCACAGGTGCACTTTTAGCAAATGCAGATGATAAACTGTTTCATGTTGGGATGAAATTCCAAATACAAGCATTGTATTTTAGAAGCAGCTTTACAGTTATTTTTCTTTTATTCTTAAAAATCAAATAATCCTTACTTAGACAACAATGGCAAAACATCAAAAAGGGCAGAGAAAGCAAGCAAAGATAGAATTAAAGTACTCTATTGTTTGCAGAAAGAAGAATAGCAACTATAATTCCTTCATAAATAGAGAAAAACCAATCATTAAGAAAAAATTCACTAAACAGATTAGAAATGAAGCATCTTTTTCCTCCTAAGAAGTAAGAAAATCATCACAAAGATTATTAAACATTCATTGAAAAAAATAAAAACTGAAGAAGAATCTCGCAAATTGATTTAGAGGCCGCAGGAAATTCTTGATAATCACATTTGAGAATCTCTGCTCCATAGATAAGTTTGGTAAATGAACTTAAAATGTATCAGTGCAATCATCATTTAGTAAAAGAATTAATTTCATATGCACACATTCAGTTATTATAAAAAGTTGCTTCCAGTGCCAGCACTTTACACACGCTGTCTTTATACTGTTTTCCATCAGTGCAACAAAACATTATTATTCCATTATCAATTTTATTACAGAGAAGAGTACAAATCATCCTTTATTTTGGATAAAGAATTATCTGACAATTATTGAAAATTTGATACAATTGTTATAAATATAAATTTTGTATAATAATTTTTTATTGGAGTAGCTACTTAGAAAGAAGAAAATAATTGTTCAGTAATTAATTATTTACTATATCCTATCATTTCCTAGGTGTTAAAAAACTGGTATTTACCTAACTCCACTTATATTTAAATTTAACAATCCGCAAAACCTTTTATAACAGTGTTGTCTCCGTAACAAAGGTTTCGTGGATTGTTATTACTCAACGCAGTGTTATTAGAAGTCGTTTTGTATTTAAATTTATATTATGCTTCTAAAAAAATGTTTTGATAATTACAGCAAGTTGTATTTGACTAATAATAAACCAATTCAGGACAAAAAGTACTTTTAATATTCTGTTACATATTCGTGTAATATAAAAAGCCAAAGATAATCTTACCAAATATCTGAAGATGGATTACTTATGGGCTATAATTGAGCAGCAGATTGCAAAAGATTGTTCACAAAAAATAAATCAATGTGCACAGAAATAGGATTTAATTCAGCTTACTGTGAAAAGAAAAAAGAAAGAATGTTCCTTCCCTAGTCAATTTTCAATGCAATTAACAAGAATCTAATCAATTATATGTATATTTAGTAGTACTAGAAAAAGAATCCAAGCAATATAACTTTAAATCTGGTACAAAATGTATTTTAATTACATTTTCTTAAATTACTATATGAAAACAATATAATGCAATTCTATTTATAAATGCTAAAAATATGTAATTTAAAAAAATAAAATACTAATTTTGTTCAGAAAACATTATGTTATGTTAATCTGCAATTTTTAATGAAAATTTAGTAACTCAAATAGCAATTGTATCTAAACAGTTTTACCTAAATAGATACAATTGCTATTTGTAGTTTAATCAGTGTAGTTTTCATCTAAAAGCAGAAAAAAAAGTACAAAAACATTCTTATGTGTAAACAAGTAACTATTTATTTTGATTGTCACAATGCCTGGCACAATGCTCTCCACCTCAAATTAGTCGTGTCTTGTCCCCATATATTGTGCTTTTCCTTTAACGATAGTTGTGCACGTAATCTATCCAACACCTTTCGGGGAAAAAAGTTTTAAAATTGAAATAACGCGACTTCCAGTTTGCATTGGAAGTTCCTATATAGATTATCAGGATTTCCATATCTGGTCTTGTCTTTCGTCTAACTCGCTTCATTCTCGAGATTAATAAAGAACGGATGAACAAATGGACAGTGGAAATTTATAAGTCTATGATTTTTTCAAATTGCAGCCCAATGATATATACGCAACTTAAAAATCATTCTTAAAATTCTGATTAATTACTTATTATTGGGACAATAAGCATATAATGTCATCTGGAGTTCGTTTTTTTTATTGTTGATCCAAATGTTAAGATTAAATGCATATGCTAAAGTAATTTCAAATATCAAAATGCATAAAAACATTACAATAAAACTTATACTTACCTCTTCATAACATTTTTTTGTAATCTCGTTACTGAAATTTCCCCAAACAGTGATATTTTCCCTGTTGTACTGTTTAATCAATTGATTTACCTATATAAAAATTAATTAAAATGGTTTAAAATTTAATTTTATTATTATTCCCACTTTTTAACAAACTTCAAATATTAAATTTTTAATAAAAAAAATTATTACAATTACAATTCCTTGTGACCAGAAATAATCAGTTTCCTCCAATACAGAACTATTATTATCTGTTTTATTTTCATCTTAACTAATTTTAAAAAAGAATATATTAATAATCTAAAAGATTTATAAATTAAATTAAAAGTATTTAACAACAATTGAAGTTTAATATTAAATAAAAACTGCATATGACACTTTGGGGTTTTTAAAATGATTCAATAAAGAACTTCAAAATTCTATATATGCTTTCAAAGTTGTAGTTAAAAGACTTATAGAATCAGATCTATAACTTAAAAATATAGAATTTTAATCTTAAGACTTAAGATCTATTTCGAATCACATAGTTTAAAATAATATACAAAACAATCCCTAAATACAGTAGAGTCCCGAAAACTCGGCACTCAATAACCCAGCAGTCTGGATAACTCGGCCACACCCTGGCAGAGTGAAAAAACCCCTAGTTAATTTTCATTATAAACAGCTTTATGCCTCAAAGTATTTTTCTGGGGTCTGTCTTATCAGGTAAATTACTGTACACTGTGTATTCATTAATTTTCATTTTCATGTAGTAAAGGCCTTCATAAAGTGCGTACTTTTCCTTTGTTTAAGGGTATTTGGGCAGTTTATTCTCTGTTGTATTCTCAAGTAAACAATACATACAAGTACAGTACAGTATTTTCTAAGGAAACACTCACTTATATTTTTTAACCCCATTCCCGATAACCCGGCATTTTCACAAACTCGGCCACCCTTTGGTCCACATTAGGCCGAGTTTTATTTATAAAAACAAAACTTTCAAGATTGCAGTTCACTCTCTCTCATATTTGATTTCAACTATTGAAGGTTCTAAGAAAAAAATCTTTTATTATCTCATTCTGAATATATGGATATTTATCAAATACAAGAATAAATATGAATAATGTCTACGAAAATACATGATACTCAACACAATTTAATAAAACTGGAAAAGTAACCAAATGAAGTAGTAGTAATACACCTTGATTAAATATATTACAGGAGTTACGCAAGGTGTACTGTTTCTTTCATTTGATGATACTCAACCCCAATCTAATACGACAAATATTTATTAATGAGAAAAAAACATAAAACAATGTTTTGAGTAGGTTTTAGTTATACAATCTGGCCAAAAGTATCCAGAAACTCCTACAAAAGATTCAGTCAGGTATAAGATGAAGTCAATGAATAAATACATTGTGTATGTTCAGAATACTAGCCAAATGAATCATACTAAAGAACTTAGTGAGTTTACATGAGGCACCATTATCGGCTGCCATTTTTGCAGCAGGTTAAACAACTGTAGCAGAGTAATTTTAGACTTGTAATAAAGTAGGAATACAAAGGACCATGTCTTACTCAGCTGTCATTGATATAGTAAACTGTAGCAAGACATGGTCCTTCATATTCCTACTTCAACAGAAACTAGACTGGACAGGAAAAAAATTACAGACTAGATCACTGAGTTTACAGTAAGTGGTGCACCAAAATCAAAATCAGACAACAGTAAAAATTTAAAATGCTTCCACGTTCTGGATAGCTTCTGAAAATGATGATGCTAGAACAAGAAGGTAAGCAGCTGACATGGTGAAGAGAATAAATTGGATATTGGAGCACTGGAAGTGAAAGCTCTGGAGCAGTGGTGTCCAAATTATGACCTCTATGCCAAATCCAGCCTCTGGAACACAATCTGGTCTGCAGGAATACAAGTATTTGACATATCACTTAAAACGATAAAATAGATCTACTTTTGTATATATGGAATATACAAAATATTTATGGTCCAACTACCTACAACTTACAATTTGACCCACCAATCAAAAAGTTGTGAGCAATCACAGTTCACAAATTGTGTATAGCAAGTGTCCAGAGAACGCCACCATTGAAGGATGTGTTGTTCCAACAGTATAGTTTAATAAAGTTAACACAATAGTATAGGAAATTCTCATGGTTTACATTAATTTCCTGACTACAATTGAAAGGAAACTCAAAACAAAGACACATGGAAACATTTTAGATAATTCTGTACTTCCAACTTTGTGGCAACAGTTCAGAGATTGTCATGTTGGAAGAAATAGTGTATGCTCCTTGTCCACTACAGAAACAGACATTGCAGGATATGCTTAAACTCCTTATCTTAACCCAATAGAGTATCTTTTATTTACGAATTGGAATACCACGTGAAAGCAAGATCAAATCAGCCAAACTTGATTGCCGAACTCATTGCTGTTCTTCAGAAGTGACAGCACATTCTGCCATCTACTTACCAGAACCGGTTGTAAACCCTTCTCAGAATAAGGATGTCACAGAGAAGAGAAGATCAACAAAGTACTTACACCATTCATACTAACACAAGTTTGCAGGAATTTATACTTTTGGCCAGATATAGTTGATTTATTATCTGAACTTATGCTAACCTTTTTAATCAACAATTCATTATTATTTTTTATATCTATATTAATTGGAACATTTTGAAATTTCTGAAAGACATCTTTGAGTAGTGGTATTTTTCTATCTTCATTGCCTCTGCACACATTACCTGTTTAAAAAATATTTAAAAAATTGTTGTTAGACATCTTCGGCTAAGATGCTTTATATATATTAAAAATTTAACGATACAATACTTTTATATAGTCTACACTTTAAGATAATTTGAAATAATTTTTTTTATTTCACTAACCTCCAGCAAAGTCCACAGGTAAAACAGGTTTTAACAATGGGAGTTCCTACATTCAAAAATATTAAATAAAAATATTTGAAATAAAAATGCTTTTAAGAAAATTATTTTACTTTATCATCATCTCACCTCATAGTTCAAATCAGATATATTTACATCTTTTCCAGTACTTCTTAATAGATTGTTATCATGAGAAACAACTACTTGTCCATCTTTAGTAAGTTGTAAATCTATTTCCAACATATCACTATTTTGCATTACGGCACTATTAAAATAATAATAATTATATATATTTATATTAATTTTCATATCAATACGTTTACAAGCAACTTTTTATATTCTTCTAAATAAACGTTAATTGTAATACTAGACATTATTCCAACTTAAAACCTATGGAGAAAATTACCAAGAACATTCGGTATTTCAAGCTGAAGGGCAAATCAAGCCCCAAAATACATTTATACGAATAAAAGAAAATACCAAGATGGCTACACGTTGTTGGCGATGAAGAAAGATTACTAATTTCTTTCGCACGCAGTTGTTTTTGATTGCGTGACAAAGTCAAGAATTACAAAAATAATTACTAAAAAATAAAAAATTAATACGGAATTATGGAATATATTTTAAATAATCATTTTGTATTAGATTATATATCATTCAGTAGCATAGCAAACTTAACTGGCGCCCGGGACACGACACTTTTTTGGCGCTCCCCTCCCCCAAATCTCGTTTGTCTCGGAGACCATTTGGCGTGCCACCGAGATGACGCCCGGGGAACGATAGACCCCCTTGGCTACGCCAGTGATTATTAAATTATTTCTTTTGATGAAATAAAGTTTGGCATTTTCAATATTGACATTTCATTATATTAAAATTTGTAATATGAATAGAGTTCTCACCCCGTAAAATTTACAAAAATTCCTTATTTTATAAAGGAAAAAAAAAATTTCTTTCTTTCTTTCTACGTAAAAACTATGAAAAATTAGATTAAAATCAATACTGTATATTGCAATCTTCAATCTTACAAAATGTCCACGTTACATTACAAAATACTTACTGTTCAAAGGCAGTAATTGTATTCTCCAAGTTTTCTCCTGCACCTTAAAATTGTCGGTTAAAAAAAAAAAAAAAATTACTAAAATAT